ACATTTCATGTACAGTCCTAGTACAGAAATGTATTTATGGGTGTACTAGCAGGTCTTTCAATCGTTTACACGCAACTACACGAACAGCTGCTTGTATGTGTGTGTCTGTGTATACTTAGTTGTCCCCAACTGTTTGATATTTTGTATTGTTTGTTCTGCCTGCATTTGTAAAATGCATATTTTGAAAATCCTTGAATGCAAAGTTGTAGATTTATTTACGTAGAATACAGTCCCCAAATTTAAAATTGATCGGAACAAATTTATAACACAAACTTTTCATTTGAAAAGGTGAATAAATATTAAAACCCCAATAATTCAAGCTCCACCACAAATTTCGAAAATCCGAGTATGCAGTTTGGTTTGAATTCTTTTATAGATTATAAAAATCATTTAAAGTTGATTGATGGAAAACTGAAGATTTTTCGAACAAATTTTGGAGCTCGCTTTCCCCCCTTTGGAGCTCGAATTTTCCAAAATCCCTTCTTATTGCGCACCTCCACTATGATTCCAAATTTCAGCTTTCTAGCTCTTACCGTTTGGGCTATGGGCTGTTGACGCGGTTTCCCTTTGTGCCCCAAAAAAGCCCCAATAATTCAGTCTCCAAGAAAATATTTAAAAAACCAAGTATGCAACTTTCTTTGTATTCTTTTATTGATTTTAGAAACCAAGTTGTAAGTCGATCGGTTGAAAAAAGATAGATTTTTCAAACAAACTTTGGAACTAGTTTTCCCCCCATTGGAGCTCGAATTTTCCAAAATCCCTTCTTAGTGCGCACCTACACTATGATAGGATACTTGAACCCAAAATTCCAGCTTTTACCGTTTGGGCTGTGCGTTTATCACCAATCAGTCAGTCAGTCAGGACCCGCTGCTTTATATATATAGATTGGTCTGACAGTTAAATCTTTTGCTTGATAAGCATTTCATAATGTACATTCTTTTTGTAAGCTGTAGTGAGATTTTCTATGTGTTGGTTCCATCTGTAGTTACTTGTGAATGTGACTCCGAGTATTTTGAGAGAGTTCTCAGTTTTTAATGTAAAATTGTTGGAATGCAGTTGAAAAGTGCATCCTTATCTATTTTCCATGCGGTAAGTTCGTCGATTATCGTGTGGATTCCTACTCTATCGAACGCTTTGGCGAAGTCCAGTGATAGAACTGATAGGTGACGAGGTGATTTGAAAATCTAGCATCCATCAGTTTCCCAAACTACTTAGTACGAAAATATAAACCACTTCTTTAGGCATAAGCTAGGAGTGCAAAACATGTGATTGTCTAAGGAAGATCACTTAAATTAGATACTTTAGAGAGTGTCGGAAGAGAAAATGCATATTATACATAAATTTTTAATTTTGTGCAACCTGCTAGTATCAATATATAAACAAATTAATTTTAAATTTATATTATTTACATTTATTAAGAAAACTTAAGAATTCCTGCTTCTTAATTTAAAAATGCGCTTCTTCGCGATCTGCATTGCTTGGCGCAATTCGCGGTCTGCAGACAATCCAGTCCCAATAGAATCTATAATGAAATATAATTTATTAATAATTATGTCAAATTATGTTATTTAATTATGTGGCTTACCAAGCAGAGCAGCATACAAATTTTTAAAAATTTTTAACGCTACTTTCCCCCATACGCCGTCAATATTTATTTCCGCCGCTAGACTGTCGGACATAATATTTTTAAGACCCTTCTTGACATCGGGCCTAAGGAGATCCTTCATTACTTGAATCTGGCATAAAAATTAGAATGTATTTTAGTACTTATATACATGTATTGCGAGCGTATTGTTATTACTTACATATTGGTCTTTGTTCTCCGAGTTTATGTCCCCATCAAGTTTATTGAGGTCCTCCAAGGTTGTCATGGGGAATTGGGACCGTGCATCACTTCCTTGTTGCCCAACACTGCTAGCTGGAGATGTTTGTTGGGCTGAGGAGTTTACGAGTAATTCTATCTGTGCTCGTTAAATGCTGTTTTCAACTGGTAAAAATATAAATGATTTTAAATAGTAATATCTCTTTGACATAAATAGCCTTACTTCGCGCCTCTTGAAAGAGTTCCACGACTTCATTGAGTTTATCTTGGATTATATCGAGTTTTTTTTTCTGAAATATAAAAAACATTTTGTTAATATGTATTCATAAAATAGGAAACATAAATTTACTTACGAGCTGCTGAAAATGAATTCATCAAATTTTTGTTTTCCGAGTCCATTCTGCTTAAAAGAAAAAAACTTTTACAACATTTCGCTATTTTGTAAAAAATTCGAATTGCAATTTTGTTTGTCAACGAGACATGGTGAAAAAGCCCAGCCTGTGTGCATAAACACACTTAATATATATGCATGCATATCATATAGTATGTATGCCAGCCGATATTCCATTGTGTGCTTTTTCGTTATTTCTAAAATACAAACGTTTCTTGATTTGTGTGGACGTTTGTCTACGGTTTCAAGCTTTATCAGTGCGTTTTGTGTGGTTAGTCACACATGCAAGAATTACCCATCACTTTCCCAAACTACTACGGAAGGGAAAAATCATATTATAAATAAATTTATTTCAATTTGAAGCAAAACAACATAGCCCAGTAAGACCTGCTATTATCAATAAATAAACAAATTAATTTTAAATTTATATTATTTACATTTATTAAGAAAACTTAAGAATTCCTGCTTCTTAATTTAAAAATGCGCTTCTTCGCGATCTGCATTGCTTGGCACAATTCGCGGTCTGCAGACAATCCAGTCCCAATAGAATCTATAATGAAATATAATTTATTAATAATTATGTCAAATTATGTTATTTAATTATGTGGCTTACCAAGCAGAGCAGCATACAAATTTTTAAAAATTTTTAACGCTACTTTCCCCCATACGCCGTCAATATTTATTTCCGCCGCTAGACTGTCGGACATAATATTTTTAAGACCCTTCTTGACATCGGGCCTAAGGAGATCCTTCATTACTTGAATCTGGCATAAAAATTAGAATGTATTTTAGTACTTATATACATGTATTGCGAGCGTATTGTTATTACTTACATATTGGTCTTTGTTCTCCGAGTTTATGTCCCCATCAAGTTTATTGAGGTCCTCCAAGGTTGTCATGGGGAATTGGGACCGTGCATCACTTCCTTGTTGCCCAACACTGCTAGCTGGAGATGTTTGTTGGGCTGAGGAGTTTACGAGTAATTCTATCTGTGCTCGTTAAATGCTGTTTTCAACTGGTAAAAATATAAATGATTTTAAATAGTAATATCTCTTTGACATAAATAGCCTTACTTCGCGCCTCTTGAAAGAGTTCCACGACTTCATTGAGTTTATCTTGGATTATATCGAGTTTTTTTTTCTGAAATATAAAAAACATTTTGTTAATATGTATTCATAAAATAGGAAACATAAATTTACTTACGAGCTGCTGAAAATGAATTCATCAAATTTTTGTTTTCCGAGTCCATTCTGCTTAAAAGAAAAAAACTTTTACAACATTTCGCTATTTTGTAAAAAATTCGAATTGCAATTTTGTTTGTCAACGAGACATGGTGAAAAAGTCTTCATAGATACCCTTAACGGTAAGGATATGTACGGATTAAAAACCTCCATTTGCAATAAAAGTTTTATACATAATTGAAAGAATAAAGCAATTACTTTTTCAAGTTATGTACATAGCATAGGCAATAAAACTAATTCTCCTAAATATGGAATGACAACTGCTCCTTCACAATCGGGTGGTTCCGGGTCTACTAAATATATTCCTATATCTGAGAAATCGATGGCTATCTAAAAAAACTCCTAATATTCCTAAATCGCCTACCTCTAAATGCTCCCCCAGAATCGGATGTTATCGACATAATTTGAATTGGCATACTGCCTGTAACAAAACAAAAAATATGACCCAACTCTGATGCAAACATTTCCAAAAATTCATCGCAACAATTTGCCTTAATTTTAAAAATAACTATTGGTAGAATGGGAGCATTTTCAATGTTATTTATTCGGGGAAATTTCCCCGGGGGAAAATTCCAAAATAAACGTTTTCGGCGTATTCACACGTCTGCCACGCCTCCTTCTGCCTGTTACATGTTCAGCTCCCGCAAACCTAATATACTTCTGTACATTTCATGTACAGAGTATAATTAATTAACCTCATTATCATGTTTTTTAAAACGCGTATTAAATCTACCGCACGTTGCCGTGTTGGCCTATGACTATTATAAACCACTTTTTTAAATCACTATTTAAATCATCCCTATTCTGAAACTGCACATTTTCTTGCATTTCTATTTCTTGATTAAACACTTCGCAATTGTCGCAATAATTTTCTGCACATTTAATTTATTATTAAGTGTGTTTTATACCCTGTATTCTTTAGCCTATACTCGTTCCTTTTGTTGTACACATTTTATTTATTTATTTGTAATTTAAATGCTTTGTACTTACCTGCGGTATGTTGTAATTTTATTTATTAATCACAAACTCAAACACTTCGAACGCGCGTCTTCGTAAGGCAACACTAAAGTAAGCTTCACCGCTTAGAGCAAAGCAAACGAACGAATTAGAAGCAATTCAAAAGCAGCATCGAGAAGAACGCACTGTACTTGCTTAATATTTGTTGGTGCATTTTGACGCCCGAAAAATGTAACGGCACTTGCCTAATATTTGTTTGTGTTTCTTGACGAAAGAACAAAGCGCACGAGCATCAAATCGTTTCTTTATCACTGTTTCATTTCCCTTTCTTCAGTGTAACCAAGAATTATTCGTGCACTCTTTACTTTTGACTTTAATGGTAACTGGTGACTGTAATGGTCGCGGTTATTTCTTATAAACACAAATTTGAACTTAAATGAACAATTAATATTTATATTTCAATATATGTATATTTCAATTTCATAATTGGTCATGGCAAAACAAATCAAAAACAGGCATGTTTACGTACATACCTATGTATGTATGTATGTACATACATATGTGTGTACGCTATACGTGATTGTTTTATTTTTTGGATTATCCCGATATTGAATTATTACGATAGGGCGATTTAACAAGAAGCCCTATACATATCCATAGTCACTATTAGTAACTAGTCTCTACTAGCAATTACTAGGCACTACTAATAACTACCAGTGACTAAAAACATTGGCCTTTTAAATATTATAATATTACGCACAGGAATTTTAAAATTCACTAAGTCTAGTACTAGTAGTTCTAGTTTTACTAAGCCCGAGAAAGGATGAGTTTGTTCAGTGATGCAGGGTCCCAACAAAGTCCCAGAACAAAGACCAATATGTAAGTAATAACAATACGCTCGCAATACATGTATATAAGTACTAAAATACATTCTAATTTTTATGCCAGATTCAAGTAATGAAGGATCTCCTTAGGCCCGATGTCAAGAAGGGTCTTAAAAATATTATGTCCGACAGTCTAGCGGCGGAAATAAATATTGACGGCGTATGGGGGAAAGTAGCGTTAAAAAATTTTAAAAATTTGTATGCTGCTCTGCTTGGTAAGCCACATAATTAAATAACATAATTTGACATAATTATTAATAAATTATATTTCATTATAGATTCTATTGGGACTGGAGTGTCTGCAGACCGCGAATTGCGCCAAGCAATGCAGATCGCGAAGAAGCGTGTTTTTAAATTAAGAAGCAGAAATTCTTAAGTTTTCTTAATATGTTAAGTTTTCTTAGTAAATAATATAAATTTAAAATTTAATTAATTTGTTTATATATTGATAATAGCAGGTCTTACTGGGCTATGTTGTTTTGCTTCAAATTGAAATAAATTTATTTATAATATGATTTTTCCCTTCCGTAGTAGTTTGGGAAAGTGATGGGTAATTCTTGCATGTGTGACTAACCACACAAAACGCACTGATAAAGCTTGAAACCGTACACAAACGTCCACACAAATCAAGAAACGTTTGTATTTTAGAAATAACGAAAAAGCACACAATGGAATATCGGCTGGCATACATACTATATGATATGCATGCATATATATTAAGTGTGTTTATGCACACAACATGTCAGGGCGTCGTGATAAATGATATGGCAGAGGACATTGACTAAATGGGAAATTGAGCTTCATGTTACATCCATACACATATGTACATACATACATACTCGTGCATACTCGTGAATGAATGTAGATTGGTACGATCGCAAACAATAGCTTTGTTCTCTAACTGCTACCGGCACTTGCAAGTGCATTTATGAGTAAGTGTATAGAGAATGATTAAAATAATAACAATAATTCTCACAATACTATACACATATTGTCCAACAAATAGTTAGCAACGCTTCTACATACATATGTATGTATGTCTGCACTGTACAGTGTACATACATATGTAGAGTGCACAAAAAAAGCGTAAACGTTTTAATTAATATCACTTAAGTTCCATTAAATATTATGCATGTTCTTTGTTTCATTTGATTTCTTACTGCACATACTACTCGTATAATCGTACAATTGAGCGTTCGTTTTACTTGAGTGAGCTTTCCTGTTTTCGCTTTCCATGAGGCTTAAACTATTAGCATTTTATTCATACACGTATGTATAGTATACATGTATTTATTATATAATACTAAATTGTTGCTTGTCACTCTGAGCAGCATGAGACCAAAAGTTAAAGTTCTTGCTGATGAGTCAGACAATGCGATACATTCGGAAGTTTCCCAATTGGCAACTGTTCGCATGTCGGCACACTTCTATTACTATATCTAACTGAGATCTAGTTCGCACTTTCGAGTGGCGGATATAGCTGACAACTGTGCGTGTTCTATCTGGTTATTTATAAAGTGTGGTGCGTTTCCAACCGGATCAGATTTGTAATATTTCTTAATTGCCATAATTGGAAGAATTTCTCATCGTTTAAGCTATGGACTTAGCTAAGACCTGGAACTGAGAATAATTCGTTTCCATTCGTTTTTTTTTTTTAAGTAAAAAGTGTTCATGAAAAATAAATTTTCTAAACCTATCAGCAACCCTTTATACAGATCGTAAAAGAATTGAACAAAACGTTTAAAAAAAGTACAAAAGTACACTTTTTAATGTGTTTATTTTTTTTACAAATAACCCTGCTATATTGTATTTAAATACTTTATAGCAATAAATGGGATTTAGGTGATAAGTCATCCTCTTGCCATATTACGCCCTTGTGTCTCAATATAACTTACCGAGGGATTTGTCGAAACAATATGATTGATGGAGGATTAAATAAAGACACTGAACTTGACGATACGATTGAAGAAGGTGATAACGAAATTAAAAATTATAATAAAAAGGAAAAATTGGGCGAAAAATATCAAAATGACACGAATTTACTCATTGAAGTTATTTTAAAACTCTAAAAGAGAAAATAAACTTTCGAAAGTATTTATTTTTCCAAACTTCAAATAACTAAAAAATCCTTAAAAATGAGCTGAGAATTATGTGAAAATGAAAAATCCATCGGAAAAATATCAAAATGACACGAATTTACTCATTGAAGTTATTTTAAAACTCTAAAAGAGGAACTAAACCTTCAAAAGTAATTATTTTTCCAAACTCCGAAAAAACTAAAAAATCTTTGAAAGGTATTGTAGTATATTTCGAGTTTAAAAATATCGAATCGTAGAAGTTAAATTTCATTTACAATCACTGATTAATCAGTAGCTGGCACCACTAGACTGAATACTGTCCGATCGAGGCTCTAGGGGTTAAGGATCATAAGTTAATTGATGGTAGAGAGACACTGAGACTTCTACACACTCTTAATTGAAAAATCGAGCAACTTTCATTCTCTAATAACAACTTAATCTTTATAATATGCCGCTTAAACGTACGTAATACTAATCACAACCACATGAATCGCAATCTGCGTTATAAATATTACTGTGCAAAATTTTGCCGCAAGTAGCAATTATTCGGAATTTACTACACAATTCTTTTAAGTTTAACATTAAGATACATGCTTATTATAAAGTAACAATTAAACTAATTCATCCATTAATTGGTTCTTAGAGTGGGAAATCCCATATAGGTAGCTTATGTCAAAGAATTATTTTCAAGCGGAAGTGCTTTATTATTGTAACTTCTTCTTCTCTTCTTGACTGGTCTTCAAACCCGTTATCGGGCTATGACCTGACGTAACACAGCTCTCCACGCGCCTCTGCTTCGCGCGCGTCGCTTCCAGTTGGTCACTCCGCAGGTAGTAAGTGCGTTCTCTACCTGGTCCTTCCAACGTAGGCAAGGCCTCCCCCGTCGTCGTCTCCCCCCAACATCCGCATCGAGAACTTTTTTCGCTGGAGCGTCTTCTTCCATACGCACGACATGACCTAGCCAGCTTAGCCGCTGGATGTTTATTCGCTTGACTATGTCAATGTCAGCGTAGAGCTCGTACAGTTCGCTGTTCCATCGTATGCGGTAGTCGTCGCCAACGCGTATGGGACCGAAGATCTTCCGAAGCATCTTTCTCTCAAACACTGCAAGAGCTGCTGCATCAGTCTGCGATATCACCCATGCTTCTGCACCATAAAGCAGCACGGGGAGGATGAGCGTCTTGTAGAGCGTTAGCTTGGTTTTTCGGGAAAGGTCTCTGCTACTCAATTGCCTACTGAGGCTGAAGTAGCATCGATTGGCTAGAGTTAATCTCCATTTGATTTCTAGGCTGACATCGTTGGTTGCTGTGACGGTGGTGCCAAGATACATAAAATCTTTCACCATTTCGAAAGTATAGTTTTCCACCGCGATCTGGGAGTCTGGTTGCCGCGTGTCCCTGCTAGAGGAAAACATATACTTAGTTTTGCTCTCATTTATCACCAAACCCACTTTTGCAGCTTCCTTCTCAATAGCCGCAAATGCTCCGGTGACGCCTCTCCTGGTACGGCTGATAATGTCTATATCATCAGCGTACGCAAGAAGCTGAACGCTTTTAAAAAAGATCGTTCCGCCTCGGTGTACACCAGCTTTGCGCACCACACTCTCCAGCAGGAAGTTGAAGAGATAGCACGAGAGGGCATCGCCTTGCCTGAAACCTCGAACGGTATCAAAGGGTTCGGAGAGGTCCTTTCCTACCTTGACGGAGCTACGAGTGTTGCTCAACGTCATTCTGCAAAGTCGCACTAGCTTTGCAGGGATACCGAACTCAGACAGTGCGGCATATACACGTTCCCTCCTCGGGCTATCGAATGCTGCTTTATAATCGACGAAAAGATGGTGGGTATCGATTTGAAACTCATGAGTTTTCTCCAGGATTTGGCGTAGCGTGAATATCTGGTCAGTGGTGGATTTACCAGGCATAAAGCCGCACTGATAAGGCCCAATCAGTGCTATCGCAAATGGCTTTAGCTTATCACACACTACGCTTGATATGACCTTATATGCGACGGAAAGAAGGCTGATTCCACGATAGTTGGTGCAGACCGTGGGATCACCTTTTTTTAAGACGGGACATAGGACACCGAGATTCCAATCATCAGGCATGCTTTCAGTTAGCCATATTTTGCAAATGAGCTGGTGCATGCACCCTACCAACTCATCGCCGCCTGCCTTAAACAGCTCCGCAGGCAGCCCATCTGCTCCCGCAGATTTGTTGTTTTTGAGCCGCTGGATGGCTGTTTCGACTTCGTCATGGCTAGGTGACGGTACTTCAATACCATCGTCGGCGATCGGTTCTGTGGGGTCATCTCCGCTGGCGGAATTGTTAACATCTTCGCCTGATAGAAGATTGGAGAAATGTTCCCTCCACAGTCTCAGTGCCGCTTGCCCGTCCACCACCAGATTTCCTTCCGAGTTCTTACAGGCTGACGCTGCGGGCTTAAAACCTTGTGTTAGACGCTTCACCTTCTGGAAAAATTTCCTAGCGTCGTTCCTGTCTCTACAAAGCTCCATCTCCTCTCGCTCTCGCTTTTCTTGCTCTCTCTTCTTGCGTCTAAAAAGCCGCCTCTCCTCCCTCTTCTTCTCCCGATATACATCATGCACAGCGCGCGTTGTCGCCGTCTGCAGGGTTCTTTTGTACGCGGCATTCTTCGCTGCAGTGGCTTCGCGGCACTCCTCGTCGTACCATTGGTTTCTCGGTAGCGGCTGTTGGAAACCAATGACATCTTCTGCGGCTGTGTGCAGTGAGCGGGAAATATGTGCCCAAAGTCCGCTACCAGTATCGGTTTCCGAGAACGGTTGAGAAAGCAGCTCAGAGAGTTGAGCGGAGTAAGCTTCGGCAGTCTGTTGTGCTAGCAGCTTTCCGACGTCTAGTTTTCGCTGCGTGTTGGGGTGTACATTTTTCGCCATGCATAATCGCATGCGGACCTTGGCTGCAACAAGTTGGTGGTCCGAATCAATATTCACACCACGGAACGTACGCACGTCCAGCACACTGGATGCATGCCTTCCATCTATCACAACATGGTCTATTTGATTTTTTGTCATTCGATCGGGTGACTGCCAGGTAGCTTTGTGGATATCAAGGTGTTCAAATCTGGTGCTACTCACCACCATGTTTCGTGCTGCGGCGAAGTCAATTAGCCTCAGTCCATTGTTGGATGTTGTCTCGTGGAGGCTGAATTGTCCGACTGTCGGGGCAAAGACGCGCTCTCTTCCAACCTTGGCATTAAAATCGCCAAGAACAATTTTAATGTCATGAGAGGGGCAGCGGTCATAGACTGTCTCCAGTCTCGCATAGAACTCGTCCTTGGTAATCTCGTCTTTGTCCTCCGTCGGAGCGTGGACGCAAATCAGGCTTATGTTGAAAAATCTCGCCTTGACACGGATGGTTGCCAGCCGTTCGTTCACAGGTGTGAACCTAGAGACACAGTTACGCAATCTCTTGCTGACCGCAAAACCGCATCCAAATTCGCGTCTTTCTGCATGGCAGCTGTAGTAGATGTCAAAGGCTGCTCTTTGGGAGCAACCCTGACCTGTCCATCGCATTTCCTGGATGGCGGTGATGTCAGCTCTTACTTTATTGAGAGCATCCGCCAATTGGATAGTAGCACCTCCTCTGTTAAGGGTCCGGACATTCCAGGTGCATATCCTTAAATCGTGGTCCTTTAAACGTTTGCTAGGGTCGTCAACTTTTGGGTGTTCCTTATCCGAGGCTGTTGTTATGTCCTTCACTGGGAGTAAAAATTTTCATGTGGTGGGTCCCAAGCCCTACGCACAAAAGCGCTGCACACATTTGCTCACTTACCAACTCCGGATGGAGCCGGAAAGCTACCCAGAGAGCACCGCGAGGAGGTCGTGTGTCAACTTGATGATGGCAGAGACAAAGATCACTCTGGCCATTTCCACGTTAATGGCAGTCAGAAGCTTTACATTGTTCTACCAAAATCCGAGCCCTCCTTATTATTGTAACTATATTGGATTATTGGCTTAACGAGCGGTTCTTAAAAACTGCTGTTCCCCTCGTGAAGCACATGTTAACTTTACAAGTCCAAGGCTATTACTTATTAGCTTTACACGCGTTAACACCCTGCTTTATGGTTGTTATAAACTGACAACATAACCAGCCCCAACAACAACAATGCCAGTGGAACACCTGTTCCAGCCCCAACAGCTGGCAAACACAAGTACGAGGCAAAGACTTAAGAGAACGCGTCATGCACTTGTATGGCATTAAAGCGGCTAGATAAGATTTCAGTCGGCCATCTGGCTGATAAGCCTAGCTGCGTCTTTTAACCAAATTGGCGACACAGCCATAGCTACTGTCGGAGCTACCTGGCCCGAACTTAGAGTCAGCGATTATCGGCCGATTAACGCAACGCCGTCGAGTGCCACCTGGCCACCATTAACTACAATGTTGCTAGTACTATGAACATACTTGTGTGTATGGAGTAAAGGCCATAAAAATGCTATAGAACAATACATATAGAAACATAGGCCATCCGAATTGGAAATAATTTCTTTATGACGTTATCACAGAGCACAAAAATGCAGAAAGCGATTAACGAACATTGAACGCAAAGTCGTTCATCTTATCGATCTGAAGGACATGCGTGTAGTGGCAAACTTTTCGATGTATGTACAACACATTTCTCATTGTACAATGTGTATAAACCTATATATATATATGTATATACTATATAAGTACGTATGTCATTTTTTTAACCCAACAAAATTTTGATTATTCCATTTTGGTGCTCTTTGTTGGTCGTTAAGCCATGTGAGTTGAATAGGCGCTTTGATTTATGCGTTAATCACCTCCAATATGAATTATCCAATATTATAATTATGGGTATTATCTTAGTTTCCCAGAATTTTTCTGTTAAATTATTAAGATTACTTAAGTAACCTTATTTAGCGTTATCGATTCAATTCCCAAATTAATAGGTATTGTCATGTTTGCCAACACGTTTGCAGTTGTTCGATAGTTCTTTGAGTGGCTGCAACAAGACTTCTTAAAGAATCAATAATCATGTAATCTTTTCGCTACAAATCGTATCTTTAATTTGTATAATTGTCAACGTTTCTCGAGAGAAATGTCGTGGTGTGACAGATGCTTTGCGAACTAATTGTAGCTAGTTTTAGCCGCCGGCAACCATATTCCCATAAATATTGGTTCTTCTTCTTATTTTTGCTTCTGGTATGGGTGCATATAACATGAAGATTATGATTATTTTAGAGCCAAATTAATAGCTTGTAAATATAACTAACGGCTTTACAGTGTCTGAGTAGGAATACTATATCATATATATCATCCGAATGGTGCTACTGTTGCTAGCGAGATATTATTGCAATTTTTATACTCTGTACATAAAGTAGACCTAGCCTTGTCTGTTTGTCCGTCTGTCTGTCCGTATGAACACCTGGATCTCAGAGACTATAAGAGCTGGAGACACCAAATTTTACACAAAGATGCCTTATGTGTGTACACTATACGAGTTTGTTTTATTTTTTTTGATTTCCCTTGCACTTCCCCCCTTTAAGGGTTTTCTCGATTTTCCATTCGTATAATCGCTTATATCTTGGAGACTATAAGAGCTAAAGTCGCCAAATTTTATTCCATGAATATGATGAAAATGTGAATTTTGGAATTATTTTTTAAGAAAATGTAGCAACCATGTCTACGTCTGTTAAAAAAGAAACTAAATAAATGGATGTCTTTTATAAAATCTTTAACCAATAAGGCTACCATTAGCCGTCAATGGGAAGATATAAGCGGCATATCAGTACACTTGAATAGCTGAAATATTAAGAGTTGGACAGCTTGGGCCCTTTGGAATAAGCTTGAATGGCTGATGCCAAAGTTTGGCCACAATATGTCGCGGGTTTTGTGGCTTCACTTGGAACTTTCTGCCTGGGCACTTCTTTCGGATGGACAGCACCCGCAGAGAAGTCCATTGTGATGAATACAGTCTATAGCTTTACCTGCACGATTAACGATTATGGCTGGGTGGCCAGTCTTCTGCCACTTGGCAGCGCCTGCTCTTCCATTCCAGTTGCATTCTTGGCCAATTGGCTCGGGCGCAAGATAACTCTCCTGATAATTGTGTTACCCCACATGTGTGGCTGGGCTCTGATTATCTGGCCAACATCGGTTTATATGCTGTTCGCGGGTCGCTTTCTCTTGGGCATCAGCGGTGGCACCTTTGTGGTTGTGGGTAAATAGTCTAACCATACATAAGTGCTATTAGTAATGCTGCCATTCCAAAATAGTGCCCATGTACACCACGGAGGTGGCTCAGGTGAGGGTGCGGGGCGCTCTTGGCTGCCTTCCCCAAGTACTCTTCACTACGGGCGTACTCGTTTCTTATGGTATTGGATCTTTGTTTAGCTACCAACTGCTCAACTATATATGCTCCTCTCTGGGCATTGTGTTCTTTGTACTCTTCATCTGTATGCCCGAATCACCGGTCTACTACATGCTCAAGGGTCGTCAGGAGAAGGCGGCGCGTTCATTGCGTTGGCTAAGGGGTAAAAATTACGACAATCGAGCGGAGTTGGCCGAAATAGAAGGTGACGTGACTCTGGCTCAGCAAAAAGCGAATCTCTGCTATGCGCTGGGGAGCAAGTCCACACTGAAGGGCCTTTGCATTACGGTCCTGTTGATGTTCTTTCAACAGTTCGGTGGCAGCATTATAATACTGTCCTACACAACATATATCTTTAAGCAGACTGGCACAACTTTTGTCGATGCCAATGTGTCAACAATAATGGCAGGCGGCTTCTTAATGGTGGCCACCGCCTTATCCTTCGTTCTCATCGATCGAGCTGGACGACGTGTTCTGCTCATTTTGTCGGCAGTTCTGATGATGCTAACTAATGCTTTGTTGGGGTTTTATATTAAATCTGATGCCCTGCGTTCGTACATTTGGCTGCCCATCTTCTGCATCTGCACATTTATAACCTTTTATGCCGTTGGATTCGGTCCAATACCTTTTGTAATGATGGTCGAACTATTTACCGCAGATGTCAAGGCCCTCTGTACTGGCATTGCGGTTACTTCCTGTTCGGTGTTTGCGTCCATCTGTGCCAAAAGTTTTATAACCATATCCCTAAGTATGGGCATGGCGGAAGCATTTTGGATGTATTCGGTCATTGATGCGTTGGCAGTGATCTTCTGTATTATGTATGTGCCAGAGACAAAGGGCAAGACGATGATGCAAATACAGACAGCATTGGGGAACAAGGATGCTTCCAATGATTAATCAACTTTTTTACAAGGAACAACTTATAAAGAATTATTTTCATTTCTTGAAATATATGAAAAGGACCCTAATTGTTTTTTTAATGTGGATAACCGCTATTGTTTCGATATTTTAGATTTTCAGTTGTTTATTTATATTATTTATGATTATAAGTCTTATTATTTGATAAATTGTATTGCTGAGAAATATTGTTAATAAATGTTTCTGTTAATTGTTTAGGCGAGTTTAATTTTTAGTTCAAATCATTTTCCAAAATTCCTCCCTTGCGATCACAGAATTAAACACTTTTACAATTGTAAACCTATAGTAGCAACCTTTAATCCAATAAAGTTTCTCAAATTAGCAAATATCTTTCATTTCCAATTCAATTACTTAGAATGTTGAATGCTCATCAATTCTTATTCTTTTCCAGAAAACAAAGTTATACTGAATGGCATTTCGGGCTATTTCCGTTCCGGCGAGCTTAGCGCCATTGTGGGACCATCTGGAGCTGGCAAGAGCACACTGCTCAACATACTCTCAGGATATACGTAATGTAACCACAAACTGTGCGCTCTTCATATCGAGGACTCATCGTTTCTATTTCGCCACATTTCAGAACTTCTGGCCACGATGGCGAATTCCGCATTAATGGCAGTCCGCGTGACCTGAAGGCATTCAAACCGAATGTGGCCTTTATAACGCAGGACACAACCCTGCAGCTATATCTGAGTGTTAAGGAGGCGATGCATTTTGCTGCCAATTTGAAAATTGGTCCCCACATGACGCCCACTGCTAAGAAGGAGCGTGTTGCCAGCATTTTGAGGGCCATTGGCATGTACGAGAACCGACAGACACGGACGTGCGATTTGAGTGGAGGCCAGAAGAAGCGTTTGGCCATTGCATTGGAGTTGGTGAACAATCCACCGGTTCTCATGCTGGACGAGCCAACTTCGTAAGTGTGGTTAAAGTTTATTTAATGCCGCCTGTTTTCTAAACCAATTTAAACTTGTAGCGGCCTGGATAGCTCGACCTCAACTCAGCTGATTACGTTGCTCAAGAAACTGGCGTTGGAGGGACGCACCGTCATCTGCACCATACATCAGCCGAGCGCTCTAACTTTTGCCATGTTCGATCACTTGTATGCCATTGGAGAGGGACACTGTATCTATGCGGGCGGTACGCATAATTTGGTTCCATTTCTGGGAGTTCTGGGGCTGCATTGCCCGGAATCTTACAATCCGGCGGATTATTGTAAGTGGAAAAACAATTGATTGAATGTTGAAACTATAAATACTCATATCTTTGAACAGTAATGGAAATAGCCACACATGACTATGATACGGAGCAAGAAAGCCAGGTGGAGAAGCTAATCGCACTAATGGACAATGGACGGAACGACGATTACAGACAGAACAAAACAGCGCGAGTGGCTCAGCTGGCAGCTATGAAGAAAGTTGGTAAGCATCTCCACAGCTCAACGCTTCTCTGCGCTCTGCTCAAAACACATTCTATCGCTCTTTTTTAGATCAAATGATGGCCGCTGGCCTCATAACGCCCGTCACTGCTCCGATGCTATCGAATCCAGTATCCAATCAGTTTTCAAGCTATCAACAGCAGCAGCGCCATGAACAACATTATAGCTTTAAGCCGCTGACGCCCATCAATGAGCTGTCCTCGCGCATTTGGGACAGTCATGGCGGCATTGGGGAGCATAGCGGCACCAAGAAGTCCGATAATTGCTGCAATCCCAAGAAAAAGAAATGCAAGCCAGCCATGCAATTGGATCCATCCCACCTGTGCAAGAGAGAGAACATCTATGCTACGCCCTTCTACCGACAGCTAGGAATTCTACTTCTGCGCACGTTTCTGCTAATATGGAGGGATCGTTCGTTGACCACATTGCGCTTCAGCATACATCTGGGCACCGCCCTAATGATTGGCTTCCTCTACTATGGCATTGGCAACGATGCGAACAATACCAAGAATATTATCAACTACTGCTTCTATGCCATTATGTTCATCATGTACTGCGCCTTCTCCGGCATTCTCGTGAAGTGTAAGTTTCAATTTCTTGTTTCAAGAACTGTCCACATGTATGTATGTAACAGACCGAAGAAGGAGTCGTGGTCAAATGTCCGTCTGTATGAACGTCGAGAACTTTGAAACCACAACAACTAGCCACTCCAAACTTAGGGTGTAGGTTGGTCTTGTTCAGATGCAGACCAAGTTTATTACAAACAATAAATAGCTTCATGCCATGGGAATAATCGGCTCAATTGGTGTTTCTAAATGCTTATATAATATAGCACACAGAGGAACGATTGGTTTAAAGACTGGGGTAGACCAGATGTATGTAACAGATCGAAGATGGAGGCATAGTGACATGTCCGCCTGTATGAACGTCGAGAACTTTGAAATCACAACAACTAGGCACACCAAACTTTGGGTGTAGGTTGGTCTTGTTCAGATGCAAACCAAGCAATAAGTAGCTTCATTATCGGCTGAATTGGTGCTTATAAGAGCTTATATTGCCCTACTAAATAATATAGCTGACAAAGGAACGATTGGTTCAAGGACTGGGGTAGACCAGATTTATGTAACAGGCCGAAGAAGAAGTCCTGGTCATATGTCCGTCTGTATGAACGTCGAGAACTTTGAAACCACAACAACTAGCCACAACAAACTTATGGTGTAGGTTGGTCTTGTCCAGATGCAGACCAAGTTTATTACAAACAATAAGTAGCTTCATTATTTTATATAGCAGCCAAGTGAATAATCGGCTTAATTGCTGTTTGTAAAGACTGTCATCGAAAGAGGGGAAGTAACAGGGCTTGTCGGGAGTCTTATTCCCACGACTTTCACTTTCCAATTATTTTAATTGCCTTTTACTTTATTTTGCAGTTCCCCTGGAGTTTCCAATAGTATCGCGCGAGCATTTCAATCGCTGGTACTCGTTGCGCGCCTACTATGTGGCCATCACATTGGCGGACATACCTATACAGATCATTTGCACTAGCCTCTTCATTGTGCCTACGTATTTGTTGACGGGTCAGCCGCTGGAGTTCATGCGGTTCGGCCTCTTCTTCCTGATTGTCTTCCTGACCGCACTGGTGGCCCAAAGCATTGGCTTAGCGGTGGGCGCATCGCTAAGCATGCATCTTGGAGCGATATTGGGACCGTTTTTTATCTGCCCTTTCCTGCAATTCAGCGGCTTCTTTCTGTATCGGAGGGATGCACCGTCCTATTTGCGCTGGATGTTCGACGTATCGTTCCTGAAGTATAGTCTGGATGGTGCTGTGCTGGCAATATTTGGCTACGGTCGAGAGCAACTTCAGTGCGATGTAATGTACTGCCATTTCTCGCGACCGAAGTTCATATTAAAGGACTTTGATTTCGCAGAAGCCAACTACCAACAAGCCGCCATATTCCTGATTTGCCTATTTTTGTTATTGCGCGTCGTTGCCTTCTATATTATGTCCTTTAGACTGAGGGTATTCAGATGAGGTATGTGTGTGTCGTGGCTAGGCTGCAACATTCCATAAAAAAAGTACGACAGTTTTTTTTTTAAGTAAGCAGTGCAATTGAAACTCTTGTGGTCCTTTATACACAAACAATTGTGTATAATTATATATAATTATGGTTTCTTTTAGCATTTAATCTATTGAACACAGTGCCAAAGAATGAAGTGTTTAGCGTAAGAAATCGTGATATATCTAATGAGAGAAAACAATGAACATATTACAAAGTCTAGGAACTATACAGAATTATAGCAACTGTATATATATATATATATACATACATACATATACTTCATAAACAATTTTGTACATGCATAGTGTTGACTTTTTGTATTAAACCCCAATGTTTAGCCTAGATATATTTTATATTAAAATATGAAAAACTATTTGATGATCGATTTATATTGAAGAAAATAAACTCTAAAGGATTTAATTTCAGAAGAAATGTTTTGAATATATGTTTATTGGAACTGCATCATAATAAGTTGATTAATATTAAGTAAAATATTTAAAAAACTACACAACTGTTGGAGGAAAATATTGTGCAGATAGCTTTTTAGCTAAAAAGAAATGTAATTGTCTTTTCCTGGCTATGTAATGGATATTTAAGAGATGGCTATCCACTATTTTTGAAAATTACATAAACAAAAACAAACTTTGAGTTATCTTTGGAAGGCGCAAAACTCAAATTTGGAAAAGAAAATGGAGCATGGAAACAATAAGTTTTCCTTAAAACTAACTTTTGAACCTGTATTGATCCCGCCGATATGCATATGAAGAACTCTTTAATAAACCTGTCTTGAGTAATTAAGCTAAAATAAAATTGGAATTAAAACAATAACCTTATGTTATAAGTAACTACACCTACCGATTTTGCATGAAAAACTCGCCGATATGCGGATGAAGAATATATTTAATTGTATATTAGCTTTCTTTTAAAATTGCTAAAGATTATTGGAAAAAATGGAATCATGGGAACAATAAATGTTTTAAATGCAACATAGTTTTAAAGTAATATTTAAAGTGACGCAATCTGTTCTTGAATTTTTTAGGTAATTTTTTACACCTTACATTATTAGCGTTTTAGTAAGGATCCCTATCTTTTTTTTTCAAATATAATACAGCCTATGTTAACCGGGTATAGTATAGCTTCCCAACAGTGAAAGAAACCTTTGAATCGGTCCAGTAGTTTCGGAGCCTTTTCAATATAAATAAACAAACAAACAATCATATTTGTCCTCTTTATAATATTAGTATAGCATATATTTAATATATTAAAAACCAATCTACAGCTATCTTTTAAAGTCGCTAAAGATAATTCGAAAAAATAGAATCAAGGGAACAATAAATGTTTTTCCTACAACACTCTTTTGAACCCGTAACTACCGTTTATGATCGTTACATTCGCCCGACAAGACAAGGGCAACCCTGGCCGGCCTCTAACCACAACTCAAACATGTTGTCCGTTGTTGTGTAGATATATAGTACATGTCCCACACGATAAATGATTTCGAACCGCTCAAAACAGAGTCGCTCAAACGAAAGCAAATGAAAGCCCCCGCTTTGTTTTGCTTATTAGTTGAAATTGGCCAGCGACGAGCCACAGATCGGGGCTTACAAGTATTGCTCGCGTTAGTCAAAATTGTTGTGGGAGAGTGTCGTACATAATTGTTCACAGACGCGACTTGAAAACTAAATTGGTTGCGTTCCATTGCGAGGCACGCAATAAAGTGATCAAAAATATATATGTATATATTGTGTACGATATTTAATTATAAAGGGTGTGAGCGACTTTCAATCTTTTGAATTTGTGAGCGGCGTTAAAAAGAAAACGTAAAAAACCGCCATGATCTGGCAAATCGAAGAAAAACTCGTTTGTTTGGCAATGCAGATTGTGTAATTGGTCTTGCATTAAAAAAGTGCATATTGGTTTATTAACAAGGCGCCATTAAATATTGATATACTTGTATGTACTTGTATATATAGCAAGCGTATGTCGCACAGGGCCATTAGTATTAATATATATGTGCTCGTATATACAAGTATATACATATTCTGTATCAAATAAGTAGGGGCATTGAAAAAAGACTGCGCTGATAAGCAGCTGCAACGAATGTGAATTGCTAATGCCAAGCCGGGGAGTGCTTCCCGTGTTAGTCATAAGACAGAGGACGTTTGATTCTATGGCCTGAAACAGAATTTAAATGAAAATAAGAAAAAAAAAACAAATGCAAAGCTTAGATTAAAAATTATATATAGGATGAAACGAGAACCTATAATCGGGTGTGTTTCCGCAAAAACTACAAAAATGTTAAGAAAACAGTTCATTTGAAATTTCGCAAACAGCTACAAATAGAAAAGCTTTATCTTTTAAATGCTAAGCACATTGCTTAAAGTTTGATAATTATTTTTAGCTTTATTCCCAATTATGGTGTTTCATCATCCACAAGACGGAAACAAGTTTATTGCGCTGTATAAACCCAAAATCGGGTTCCACATATACACATTATGTTTAAGCTTTAAATTTATCTAGAGAGTTTCAAAGGATTAAGGAAGTCAGGAAATTGTCATTGTTGGCTGGTTTCAATACTTCAAGATTTGAATGCGTTTCTATGCGCGTATAAGTGTCCAGTAAAAAATGACTCAAGCAGCAATAAAAGAAACAGCTGCCGAACAGCTGAATCAAAAAAAATATTGCAAACTCCTACTTAGGAGAACCTGGCTAGCAGAATCTGGATATCAAATTCCATCTGTGAATCACATACTTGTATGTACATTCCCACTAAACTAGTATACCTTGAACATTTTATGTACAGGGTATAATAAACTAGCATACTCTTTTACTTATTTAATATACAGGGTATAAATACTGCGTATTAAGCAATTTTTATGCCCATGCTTTTTGCAATTTAGTTAGTCGCTTTACAGGTTTCAATAGAGCAGCTAATTATATTTCAAATGCTTTTGCCGATTAGGTTTTCAATTTTATTGTTATAACCTGTACCTGATGGCAAAAAACGTTCTATAATGCTTGAGCAAAGAAGAAAGCATATGCATGATCTTAAAAAGCACACCGACACTAGTCGTTCCAGACCTGAAAGTTCGCTAGAACTCTCTAGTCAAAATTAAAGTTATGGTCAAAATTAATGTTTTACTACTTATATTAATGGAACTTTAATTTAAAGACTTTACTGATCTACTGCAATATTATAAGTTGCTTGCTTTGGCGTAATTTTCTTTAAAGACCCAGAATTTTAAATATATATAGAATTTTATTATATATACAATAAATTAACCACGAAATGTTATAAAGGTAGGAAAGTGACTTTTCGAATTAATTGTTAAAATCTTTCTTCATCCACGCTTAAATCTGTTCACGGTCATGCAATTTAATATGTATATGAAATAAATGTATTAAATTTATAAAAATAAATTTAACAACCTATTTTTGCAAGAAATGGAATTAAGAATATTATCTGTGTGTCAACTGATTGCATTTTACAGTTATAAGCAGGAAGTCAGGAAAACATGCATCCTAAAAGTATGCAGCAATTTATTTATTTATAAAATAAAACTCAAATCAGATGAAAAATGCAATTAACGTTCTATTTGACGTTAATTGTACGGCAATTAGCGACAATAACTATTAATTAAGTTGAGATATAATCTGAATAAATACACACAAATTCAATTCGAACTAACAGCATTATATAAAATGCTAAAATATACAATTGAACGACAAATTACTCTAGTTAGCTGACCACAGACACGGCAAACAGAGTTGAACGACATCGGTTCTCTGCGAACGCGTTTGAGTTACAAATTGAAATTTTATAGTTGCAACAGTAACAGTCGCAACGACATCAGTCTTACAGCATTAGTTGCAGCAGACGGTTTCGCGTCGGCCGATAAGATTACATACACAAAAAAAAAAAATTGCGATCGCGAAGGGTGATAAACAAAGCCGCACCAGCACTTGAACTTTACAATCTACAAATACGGTTATGTACATGTTTAAGTGCATAAGTAAAGCAAATGTTTAAATTTCGCATTAAGCAGCTAAAATGAGAGCTGTCGCAGTCTACAGTTGCTTTTTAGCTTCAAGCCGGTAAAGTTCTCATCCAGAGGCCAGTGCGATATGCAGTTCTAGCGCTAATCTGCTTCGCGACGAGCAAACGTATAAACAAACGTTTTAGCATAAACAGAAAACATGACTGATAGCGCTGGACAAAGGCAGACAAGCAATGGCCTTGCCATTGTCCAAATACCAGTTGTAAGGCTGACGCCACCAAGACAAGAACTGGAACTGCACTTCAGTCAAGTCAGCTACAGCGTCAAATCGGGTGAGTTGTTGTTGAAGTAGACAATATTTTTGTCACGCTTGCAATTTTTGAAATTATGCTGATACTTACAGCTACCAAAGGCACAAAACAATTGCTGCACGAAGTATGTGGACAGCTGAGGTCGGGCCGTTTGACGGGAGTTCTGGGACCCTCGGGAGCGGGAAAGACCACGCTGCTCAATGTACTGGCGGGTTTCAAGTAAGTAGATAAGATATGTGTCCACATATATGTACTATATTCATTAAGGAGAGCTGTTCACATATAGCTCTGCTATTATTATTGACAGTGAGTTTTTTTTCATATACACCTAATTCTGTTTTTGCACGGTAAAATAAGACATTGATCATATGTAAAAATAGATGATTGGTTCCTTATCTCTAAAGAAATATATATGAAATTTTTAATTTTCAAACTGTGTTATATTAACCTCGTGTAAAAACAGAATTAGGTGTAATTGAAATATCATCATTCGATTAGACTAACAGTAAACGCGAGATTTAGGCGAGATAGTTTCAATATTTCATTTCAAAAAGAAGATTGCGACACGTTAATTGATCTCTTTGATTGAAGCCTATAGGTACTCATATATAGTATATCACAATTTGTAGCACTACTTAGCATCAATATTATCTTAATACTGGCACCTTTTAAATACTTTTCTATAGTTCGATTTACTAAACAAATTGGTAAAGAAATATATATGAATATATTTAGTTTAATTCCAGCACAAGAAAGGCAATTCATCCCTTTTTATTGTGATTCCAATACGATCCTATACTTGATATATTAATACCTTTTAAATTAAAAATGACGTCCTAGTTAACACACTCTTATTAGCTTGTCCTGTCATTAACAATGTAATGAAGCCCTTCGTATTAATTTTCACCCACATCTGCAGACAACTGAAATATTGTATAAATAAAAGAACCAAAAGCAATACAATAGTTTTCATAACTTCGACCTAATGCCCCAATAATCAGAATACATTTTAATGCAATATTATTATTTTTAGGTTAGGTTACTATTGTTATAAGAAACAACACTTTAATTTACTTTTATAAAAATCTCAAGAATTTATGGAAGTGTCTTGGCCAATAGCTCCATTTTATTATTTAAAAAACAAGAGAGATCGAAATACCCTGTACCCAGGTAAAGGTCCGGCACTGAAGGAAAAAGAAGAAGAAGAGTGAACTTGGTGCGTAGTACCGGGATGAAATGCTTTCGCTAATAACTTTTCTTACAATTAACCGATTTAGATGATAGTAGATAATTATATATAAATTATGTGTCAAAAGTTTGGTTAAGGTCGCTTTTGAAATGTGGACGGTCCTGGCTGAAATTCTGTAGCGGAGGAAGGGGGGAAATTCAAAAAAGTAAAATAAACTCGTATAGACTAGGGACTAGCAGCGTCTGCATATCAAGTTTGGTTTATGTACGCTAACCCGTTTCCGAAATCAGGGCGTTCATCCAGACAGACGGATGGACATGTCTAGATCGATTTCTCTCGTTATGCTGATTCAGAATATATTGAGAATTCCCGACATAGCCATAACAACCTCTTGCTCTTGCTCTTACATTCCCAGAGTCAACGGTGTAAGCGGACAGTTCGACTTGAATGGACAACCGCGAGACCTTCTCAGTTTTCGCAATATGTCCTCCTACATTCCACAGGATTTTGAAATGTTATCGCTGCTCACAGTTGAGGAGACGCTACGAGTATCCGCTGATCTGAAGTTGCCAACAAGCACGCCCTTGGAGCAGAAGCAAAAGATTGTAGGTATGCCACAAAACCCTCTGAATTCCCATGTAAAACATAATCACTCTTCCCTTACAGATTGACGATATTGTAGATATTCTGAATCTACAGTCGTGTCGACGGACGCTGGTTCGCAGCACTTCCGGTGGCGAACGGAAGCGACTCTCTATGGGGATCGAGCTGATAACGAACCCGCCAGTCATGTTCTTCGACGAGCCCACCAGTGGATTGGATAGTGTGACCAGCCTGCAGGTTATGGGCTATCTGCAGCGTTTGGCCCACGACGGACGAATCGTGGTGTGTGTGGTCCATCAGCCCAGTTCAAACCTAATGCGTTTATTCGACGATGTGCTGGTATTGGCGCATGGAGAGCTGCTCTATGCGGGACCGCAGGCTGAAATGTTGGGCTGCTTTCAACAGGCGGGCTACTGTTGTCCAAACTATTATAATCCCGCGGATTTTGGTGAGCGATGCATGTGCTCAGAGTATTTTCAGACTAACTTCAGACTTCATTCCCACAGTTCTGGAGGTGGGCAGCGAATCATCCAACCAACGTTGTGACGCACTAATCGAACAGAATAAGGACAGACATAGCAGTATTAAACGGCTGCATAAACTGATACCCGATGAGCAGAGTAGGTGGAAAGGCTTTAACTTATTTATGGAACTGCGCTCATGTATTTGTGTTGTTCCAATTCATACTACACTTACAACAACTCTGGTTCCTTGCCTCTCTACCTTCACTACCCTACCCCTGCTCTATCTTTTCCTTTCGTCTATCAACATTTCTTTTCAGCAGCGCTTATGGACTCCGCAATCGACCTCAGGCCCGACTCTGTCGTACGACCCAAGGAGCAAGTGAGTTTCAGCTACCAGCTGTGCGTCCTCATGAAACGCCATTTACGCGTCATGTCGAGGAATCTTGTAAGTAATATACATTCATATATCACCATAGATCGACCCTTTGAAGATCAAAGTGATTAGAGTTTTGAAAATAAGGTGCGTGCTTGGGTTCCTTTTCAGTATATAAGAGAAGAGAGGAACATAGGCTTGGCTCTGTGTGTTACATACGTTCGCACTAAACCCTTTAACCCTTTGGATGCAGGGTATTAGAAATGGAAAAAGCAATTTTTCTTTAGGAAGAAGAAGAGCGAACTTGATGCTGGAGCTTGTGCGCGTAGTACCGAAGTGAAATAGTTTCGCTAATAACTTTTCTGAGCATTAACCGATTTAGATGAAATTTAAAACGAAAGTACATTATTATATATAAATAATGTGTGCAATGTTTGGTTAATGTAGCTTTTGAAATGTGGACAGTATTGACAAAATTCTATAGCGGAGGAAGGGGGAAAAAATTCCAAAAAATAAAATAAACTCGTCCTATCTTGCACCTAGGAGAATCTGGATACCAACTTTGGTTATTCCAGCTTTTATAGTTTCTGAGATCTTTGCGTTCATCCAGACAGACGGACAGACGGACGGACATGTCTAGATCGATTTCTCTCGTCATGGTGATTCAGAATATATATACTTCATGGGGTCGGAGATGCTTCCTTCTGCATGTTACATACTTTGCACAAACCTAATATACCCTTTTTACCCTACGGGTACAGGGTATAAAAACAAATTAGTGTAGTAAGCTTAATTTCTGTACCGATCGTTCCACAGACAGCTTATTGCTATACTATAGTATAGTGCAACGATTTTGATAAGACTGCAGCATATAATGAGGAACTACATTAAGAAATGTATTAAGAACGCATTAACACCAAATTTTCTGAGAATAGAAAATCTTTATAAAGAAACAATCATCCTTATCATTATCATACTGATAATGCCAGCTATATAACTTAATGAGGCTATATTTAATTATATTATAATTAAAGAAGTTTTACTCGGCAATGAATATTAAATAATAATAAATATTTTATAATTATGCAAATCCCTATATGTACAGTTTCATAGTGTAATTAATAATTTGCTTTAGACTTACTTGAGAGTCCCTTTAGTCTATGCATCTGAGATATGTATTGTTTAAAAGATCAGATTTAAAGTTGAAACCTTAAAATAATATAATTTAAATATAATTTTCTTTAAAAGTAAAGATATACAAGTAGTTTCTTCGATGAAGAAGTTAGAAATGAATCGTTAAAATAAAATGCCTTACCCTTTTCTCCAATTTCAGATTGCCGTTCAGATGCGAATCATAATGCATGTGGTGGTCGCTCTACTTCTGGGCGTCGTCTACTGGCAGATTGGGGACGACGCAGCCAAACTCCCCAGCAATGTTGCCTGCTTGTTCTTTGTGATGCTGTTTGCATTCAGCGGCAATGCGATGCCATCGATACTGCTCTGTCTGCAGGAATCGGCTATTTTCATACGAGAGTATTACAATGGCTGGTATTCGCTGAATGCGTACTATATATCCAAGGTCCTGGCAGATTTGCCGCTTCAGTTTACATGTCCCACCCTGTTTATAGGGATTAGTTACTTTATGACTGGACAACCACCGGAATTGTCGCGTTTCCTGATGTGTTGGGCTGTATGTATCATAACAACGTTTATTGGACATTTTATTGGCGTTATTGCCGGCAGCCTACTGGACATGCAAATGTCCATCTTCATTGTGCCAGCATCAACCATACCGCTCATGCTGTTCTCCGGCTTCTTCATACGCATGCGCGAACTGTCTTGGTTCCTGCGACCGATCTGTGATATCTCCTTCTTTCGTTATATTTTCGAGGGTCTAATGCGTGCCATTTATGGCTATGATCGCGGCCATTTGTCATGCCAGTCAGAATATTGTCACTTCAAATCGGGAAAGCAATTCCTTAAGGACATTGACATGCAAGGCGATGAATTTGGCTGGGACATGATGGTATTATCTCTGGTGACATTATTGTTGCTAATAGCGTTCTATGCGACCCTACATGTGAGCATAAGGCGCGCCTTGTGAGAAAAAAAATTAAAATTCAATTGATGTTTGTTTTGGATGAATGTCCTAATGAAGCAGGAATTAGTAAATGTACCTCATATTTGTGAATTTATTTACATAATTGTTAACTGTAACTAATACTGTATTGATAATAATTGTTTAAAAGAGTAAAGTGCTCTTAAATCCTCGTGAATGAATCCGATATGTGTTAAGGTTTACATTTTTTAACACTGGTAAATATTAAGATTGTTTACGAGCTCCTAATTCAACAACAATTTCTGAAGCAATTCAACAAAAAACCACTAATATTTTTAGCGAGTTTTTTGTTGTCAATGCGCAATTCAACAAAGGTGGAAGAGAGCGTATGAGCTAGTAAATAAATGTTATTCATTTTTAATTAATTACAACATATACAAACAAAAAAGCTTCATCGCTTCATAGATAGATCTTGACGTTATTCGGACGCAGCTGTATAGATCAATATTGTTAAGCTGATCACCTCAAGCTCAACCAAAAACACAATTTTAATTTGTTTAAGTTCGTGAAATAATCATTTTTTATAACAAACTTTCGAAAAATTTGCGTTATGTATAATTCACGAAAATTTCTATTCTATACAACTATATTTTTTATACAATTTTACAAAATGTAATACCTAATCGATGGACACAGATGATATGTCCATGGAGCTGGCATCGCCAGCTGTGTGTCGCTGGGGCGTTGGCTCCTCCTCAGGTGGGGGCGGTGTGCCTGCCTCCGCGGGGGACGTTGCTATAGAGTCGTCCGCGATTGTTGTATCATTGCTATCTGGCGTCATCAACATGCGTGCTGGCACCAAGCCCACTCTGCTTAATGCTGCCTGTGTACGTCTGACGCCATCCGCCACGGATCGTGGCAGACGCGAGCTGGTAGTTGCTGTTGTTGTTGTAGTTGTTGTGGTGACTGATTTGGAGTCCGCGCCCTTTGTTTTCGTTGCCGCCTGGCGCAAGGGTACATCAGGAAATTCCAATTCCATATCATCATCTGAACTAGTATCGGCATTTGCAACATTGGGTTTCGCTTTCTTTTGCCATTCTACATTCCGTTTCAGATCTATCGTCTTCAGGAGGGCCTTCGCCTCAAGCTTGCGCTGCAAATTTTAAGTTATATTAGTGTTTAATTTTTAAATAATAAATATCAAACTTACATCATCGGAATCCAAACACTTGTAGGCATAGCATGAGGCGCGCTCGTAATCACCTTTCTTTTCGTAGTAATTGGCCAGTGTTATAAAGCCCTGATACAAGCTCTGCTTGTCAGTGGCTGCTCGCTCATCCTCACAGTACATGATGTAGCAATGAACCGCCGTCTCATGGTCGCCAAGTTTCTCATGCAAGTTGGCCAGCTTGTACATGGCTATACCCTCAATATCACCCACATCGCAGGCTTTCCAATAGCACTTGACGGCATTCTCGCTCTTGTCCAGCTTCTCGTAAGTTTCGCCGAGTGCGACCAACATGCGGGAGTCGTAAGGCCGCAGTTGATGAGCAATTTTAAAGTAGTATAGGCTATAGTAGTGCATCTTAATGATCTCATAGGCCTGGCCGAGGCCATACCAAGCGCGATAATCACGTTTGTTCACCTCGACGGCCTTCCGATAGCTCTGTATTGCCGCATTTGTATTCTTCAGCTCCATAAATTCATGACCCATCAGTGTCCAAGCGGCCAGATATTTGGGATTCAGCTTCAGTGCCCTTTGAAAGTACGAAATGGCCACTTGATGGTCACAGCGTATACTGTAATAATTGCCTGCAAGCAACTCAATTGAGTAGAATACTTTATAGAGTTGACAAAATCATCCTCACCTATAACACAGCACGTCTCCGGACGGTATTTATTTATGCTAACTGCTTTGTGCGCTAGTTGTGCCATTTCCGTTTTCATTTCCTTGACAAACAACAAATTGGAATAAGTATCTACATTGTCCAGCCGATAGGGATCGCGTTCGAGAAGCGCCTGGAACAGCTCAATGGCTTTGTCGACTTCTGCAAGTAACAAGGATAACTGAACCCATATTAATATATTTATATAACTATAAATACTCACCTCTTTTGTTGTGATGAACCAACGCCATTTGTGCCGTTAGGTAGATGCTTTTGCTAAATCCTGCCGCTTGCAAATCTTCATATATCTTCAGTCCATCGTCATTTAGATACAACTCTAAATAAGTGTGCGCCATAAAAAAGTGTTGCATCCAATGCCCGCCCAGGTTCAGGCCCAACAGGCGCTTCTTCTCCATAATCAAAGGGGAAAGCTCCAAGTAGGCGCTCCACAACATGGGCACAAAGCGTATAGCATTCACCAGCATCTGCTCCGCCGGCTGATTCAGATTCAACGCCTTCAGGACTACACCATAGAGATACATGCCGTAGCCATCGAGGCGGCCGCGCGCATATTCAGTGCGTAATGTGGCCAGTAAGTCGGTCAGATCGCGCATCTGATTCGAGTCATTGAGATTCGCCTGATCTGTCGTCGAGTCCAGACGTCGCTTTTCACGCGCCATATACGTGGAGTAGAGGTGAAGAAACCGCGGAACGGCCGACTCTGAATTCCTCACTACATACGCCGCACGCTCGTATTCGCGCACATCGTAGTAACTCTTGGCCAGAAAATAGTCTGCGTATTCAGCCGGCGCAATGCCCTCCAGCTGGCACTCACTAAACGAATGGTCGTCGTCTGGCGGCTCATTGTCTATGCATACGGTGTCCAGTCCGTGGTGCAATTCGGCCAACCATTTTGTGCTGTGCAAGAGGCCACGCTTGGAGCATTCGATTATGCCACGCCTCACCTCACGTTTCACATCGGGCATTAGTGCGTTAAAGAAGTCTTGCATGGCGATAAAATGTATTGTTTATGCTTAACTAATTTGTTCAAATAAGCTAAACATAAGACACAAATGCCGGTTGCTTTAGAGATGGCAGCAACCTGTTATCGAATATTGCAAAAATGACAGAGTTGTTCTCCAAATGCGCGCGCTAGTGATGCGCAACTTTTAACAGCTGATTAGATTGTTAATCAACATATGCGAAAAACAAGAGTGAAAGAGAGGAGCACTTGAAAATAACAAACAATAACAAAGTCTGTGATAAAGCTATAGAACAAAAGCGCAAACAATTTCTTTGTTTAAATAAATATATAGGTTCATTCACAACATATACGTACATACGTACGCATTGCATGCCCCATAGGCAGCAGCGACAAATTTACAAACAAATTTTACAAAGGTCATCATTAAATTGTTGTGCTTCGCATTTTGGGGATCGGGCTAACTGTCCCCCTACACATACGCACTTAAATACATATGCATGTATGTATGTACTTATGTATTTATTGAAATTACTGTGGTGCCGCTGATTCATTTATTTGCGACAAAGCTGTTTTGATAATATTAATACCCCTCGTAGCGCTATTATCAGACGACGGCAGTCAGTTCGATATTAAGCCCAGTAGCGTACGCACAATATGAGGCTACAAAGCACGGCTTTAATTTATGCACTGATCTATCTAATTTGTCTGCTGCGTGAGGGCCAATGTTTCTGGCCATTCAGCAAGAAGCCGAAACCGGGACCCACAAAACCGAGCCTATCCCCCGTCATATTCGGTATGTTATTAATAATAATTGCGTCAAGTCAGCAAATATTTAATTCACAATGTTGTGATATGATTACAGTGCCGGGCGATGGCGGCAGTCAAATGGATGCACGTCTAAACAAATCTCAGGTGCCGCACTTTTTATGCCAAAAAACGGCTGATTGGTTCAACTTGTGGCTGAACTTGGAGGAGCTGATGATACCCCTGGTTTACTGTTGGGTTGATAATATCAAGTTGTACTATGATGCTGCCACACGCACAACACATAACACACCAGGTGTAGAAATTAAAATACCAGGTTGGGGCAATCCAGAGGTATGAAATAATCACATTCTGATTTACAAACTAGATCTAGCTAACAATCTTTGCAGGTTGTAGAATGGATAGATCCCACTCACAATAAAGCAGGCGCCTACTTTAAGGACATTGCCAATTTGCTGGTCGATTTAGGTTATATCAGAAAGGCAAATATCCATGGGGCACCCTACGATTTTCGTAAAGCGCCAAGTAAATAATAATTTATATATTTACTCCCAAATAAATTCTCAGCAATGGTTTCTTCTTATAGATGAAAATCAACAATTCTTTATCGATTTGAAACAGCTGGTCGAGGACACATATGAGGCCAACAATCGCACGGCTGTGACCTTTATTAGTCATAGCATGGGCAGTCCCATGACTCTAGTGTTCCTGCAACAGCAAACCCTGGAATGGAAGCGTAAATATGTGCGTAGGCTGATTAGTCTGGCTGGTGCCTGGGCGGGCAGCATGAAGGCTGTCAAAGTGTTTGCCATGGGCGATGATTTGGATTCCATTGTGCTGAGCACTAAAATATTGCGAGTCGAGCAAATAACGAATCCGTCTTCTGCTTGGCTGCTGCCCTCGCCGCTGTTTTGGAAGAGCTCTGAAGTATTGGTGGAGACGCCATCTCACAACTACACAATGGCTAGCTTGGAAAAATTCTTCGAAGCCATTGATTATAAAACGGGTTGGGAGATGCGTAAGGATACTCTGCGCTATACAGAGAATTTCAGTCCTCCGGACGTCGAGCTGCATTGTCTTTATGGCGATGGCGTTGACACAGTGGAAAAGTAACCCAAATTTATCATAAGCCTCTGAAAATAAAATAACATTCGTTCTACATTTCACAGATTGCAGTACAAAAAAGATGATATTGCCGGCGAGACGCCCAAACTGATAATGGGTGTGGGCGATGGCACTGTAAATCAACGTTCCCTACGCGCCTGTCGCTATTGGACAGGCGTCTCGAACGCCCCTATAAATGCCTTGGCAGTGCAGGGTGTCGACCATATGGGCATTTTGTCGAGCTCTGTTGTTCTGGACTATATAGAAAACATAATGAAACAGCCTTAAACGAATTCCTGCAAATTTAAAACAACAAAAGTGTAGCTAAAGATAAATTTTCTAATTGTCAATCATAAAATCTGATTTAAAATAAGTGAATTAAATTGTAAATGTAAATTGAGCCCGTCCGTGAGTTTATTAGTAATAGTGCCACAGCTTGGATCTGAGAATCAGCATCGGTTGAAAGTAAATTGTACATATTTTATTTATCCGAATTTCATTTTCTGCGGCCATCAACGCTTATTTGAAATCGGTTTTACTTCATGACTTTAGAAGTCCAACAACTAGGCATCAATGTTATTCAAAATTGATGCACATGTTTGCAGGAAAATTTAATTTAAAAATTATGATTCATAAAATAAATAAGCATTTAATAAAAAAAATGCAACTGTTTTAGAGCGTATACATTACCACTAACCATACAACATATAGATGCGTCATTTCATACAACGAAAACGTCCCATCGAAATTGTTAGCGACAGCTCCCATAGCTGTTCGGGTATTTGCCGAATGGGAGCTGTCGCACTTCGGCTATGAGCCGACTGGGAGCTGTCGCATTCGTGCTCTCTGTGAGCGAATTTCATTTCATTCGCAGAGAGGCAGTCTACAGAGACGGTCGGTTTACGCCACTTATGCTCTTTGTATGTGTGCGTGCACATATATACATGTATATGTTTATATGTATTTGTGCATTTGGTCTTTTGCTGTTTGCGAGCAGCAGCTTCAATTTCGTTTTCAGATTTTACCTGCTACATGGGCATCAGAATTTCATACACTGTTGCCATATTTCTGTCGCATTGTATTTTGGGATGCGTATGCAAGTGAAGTTTGTCAGTAGTGTATGGGTTTCTCATAACGCCTATAAAAGCACACATACATACAATTACATACATATTTATGTGTGCAAATGTTGTGTTCATATGCAGACACTTCATATATGAACGCGTGGCAGTAGCCTTGACATTGTCATGACCTGCCTCAACTTATATTTATGCACAAGCAATTTTATTGATAGACTATTTCTTATTTTTGTTTGACTTGCATATTAATTACAAAATATTTGGTAAAAATGTCAGTTGGCATTTAAATCAAATTAATTCAAAAATATTAGTTTAAAAATATATTATTTTATTTATGTTCTTGGTAAAAATGTCGGTTGGCAAATTAGCCGATATTTAATATGAAAATAAGTACATTTAAGGGTCGCAAAATGTGGTAAAATTTGTAAAACAAGTGTAATTAAATAAATAAAAATACATACATATATGTTTATATGTATGTATGTACATCTTTTGATAATTTAATATATATTGTTTTTTTTTTTTTAATTCGCCGCTCAAATTTGTTACCGATCTAATATTGTATATGAACAAACATATTACATCGGTTGAGTTTAATCTCATCATGTCCAAAATGTTGTACATGAAAGTCTTGACATCAACAACAGTATCTGGGAACTGTGCCCCCGATGAAGATACTATGTTGATTAACATTATACAAGACTGTGGGTCAAATCAATCATCATCAGAGCTAACATCTTCTGAAGATGATGACTTGATTTTCATTGATGACGAATTAGAATTAGAATTGGCTATAGAAGCAACAGATTTGAATATTCAAGACGCTTTCAATGAGAATGCTTTGCGTTATTTTGCAGGGTATCTCTTACATAAGCTCTTGAAGAAACACGACTGCAAAGTGTGTTCAAATCTGTTGAAACCGTCCGATGAAGTCCAATGCACTTCCGAGTATTTAATACTAAATAAAAACTTCGGTTACGTTAATAGTAACCTTAAACTTAAAGCTCCGTCCGTCTCTGGATACCGATGTAATATGTTTGTTCATATACAATATTAGATCGGTAACAAATTTGAGCGGCGAATTAAAAAAAAAAAAACAATATATATTAAATTATCAAAAGATGTACATACATACATATAAACATATATGTATGTATTTTTATTTATTTAATTACACTTGTTTTACAAATTTTACCACATTTTGCGACCCTTAAATGTACTTATTTTCATATTAAATATCGGCTAATTTGCCAACCGACATTTTTACCAAGAACATAAATAAAATAATATATTTTTAAACTAATATTTTTGAATTAATTTGATTTAAATGCCAACTGACATTTTTACCAAATATTTTGTAATTAATATGCAAGTCAAACAAAAATAAGAAATAGTCTATCAATAAAATTGCTTGTGCATAAATATAAGTTGAGGCAGGTCATGACAATGTCAAGGCTACTGCCACGCGTTCATATATGAAGTGTCTGCATATGAACACAACATTTGCACACATAAATATGTATGTAATTGTATGTATGTGTGCTTTTATAGGCGTTATGAGAAACCCATACACTACTGACAAACTTCACTTGCATACGCATCCCAAAATACAATGCGACAGAAATATGGCAACAGTGTATGAAATTCTGATGCCCATGTAGCAGGTAAAATCTGAAAACGAAATTGAAGCTGCTGCTCGCAAACAGCAAAAGACCAAATGCACAAATACATATAAACATATACATGTATATATGTGCACGCACACATACAAAGAGCATAAGTGGCGTGAACCGACCGTCTCTGTAGACTGCCTCTCTGCGAATGAAATGAAATTCGCTCACAGAGAGCACGAATGCGACAGCTCCCAGTCGGCTCATAGCCGAAGTGCGACAGCTCCCATTCGGCAAATACCCGAACAGCTATGGGAGCTGTCGCTAACAATTTCGATGGGACGTTTTCGTTGTATGAAATGACGCATCTATATGTTGTATGGTTAGTGACATTACTCAGTTAAAATGCATTTTGGTTTCAATAAGTAAAACTCTATTGATGTGGTCACACTGTTCACTCATCGGCTGCCAGACATCGGTATTTGCACACCACTAGAATGACAGCAAACAAATTTTCGTTGTATCGCTGGTGAGGATTTGTTTGTTAAATAGACTTATACTTCGATATTGTGATTATGCCGCACGGTCATTCGCACGATCATGGCCAGGGCTGTAGCCATGAGGCCACCGATGTGGATCATGCCCTGGAAATGGGAATCGAATACAGCTTGTATACAAAAATTGATATTGATAATTTAGAGTGCTTGAACGAGGAAAGCGACGGTACCGGCAAAACAGTCTTCAAGCCTTACGAGAAACGTCTGGATGTGAGCAAGGTGGGTGTAATGCTTAACAATACTGTCTATTTCCTAATTTTACAGCTTCCTCTTTTAGTTCGTGCAGAGTGATGCCGATGCTGAGCTGCTTTTCAACATACCATTTACCGGCAACATTAAACTAAAGGGTATTATAATAAGTGGCGCCAACGATGATTCGCATCCAAACAAAGTTAAAATGTAAGGCCTGCTTTTGAGTTTTTATATTCTACATTTTACATCTTATTGTCTATTGTGTATAGTTTCAAGAATCGACCAAAGATGACCTTCGATGATGCGTGCGCCAAGGCGGATCAGGAGTTCGAGTTGACGCGCGATTATCGCGGCGAAATTGAATACTCACCCAAGTAGGTAGATAATACATTTTAGAATACTTTTTTTTTAAGAATATGCTTGATTACTTGCAGAGTTGTCACCTTTTCCTCTGTGCATCACTTGTCGTTATACTTTCCCAGCAATTTTGGAGATGATAATACACGCATCTACTACATTGGTTAGTTATTGGCAAACTTATCCTGAAATAATTAACTAATTGGCTATTCTTAGGTCTGCGCGGCGAGTTCAGCGAGGCTCATTACCACGGTGTTACAATTTGCAACTATGAGGCTCGTGCCAATGCTGCGGACCATAAGAATGATCTATTTGATAGTGTTGGACGCACCATACAATAAGGAAATAAACATATATACAGAAATGTAAAATTTGGATGTTATAGTTGTTGCAAATATAAACTAAATTTTTATATGCGTATTTGTAAACAACGAATTATTCATATTGTTTTTTTTAATTTATCCTTTATTATCTTATTGATTTATGCTTATAAGATGAGATATCGAATCACGTGTGTGTCAATGCATAATGCTTTCTTTTTACTCAATAGTGTTCCATTTTTTATTGTTTTCCATTTTTATTTTAATAAATTGTTTATATGTATTTTACAAAGCATTTACTTAAATTTATTTAATTAGTTTTGCTAATTTTGTATTATGTATTTTGTTTTTACATATAAGACTTATACCAAATATTTTGTTGTTGCACTATTTTTAATATTTTCTTTTTCACTTGCTTCTCTTTTTATTGTAGTTGACGTTTTCGTAAAGTATGCCTCTTGCTTATGTATTTTGATATCTAATACATACATACATAACATATATATATATATATATATATATACCCAATATCATTTTCATTGCAATTAGAAAAAAACTAAAGTTTTGAAATAGTCCATTTGTGTTTATTTTTTCGTTTTCTTTTGTTGTTACGTAAAATTCAGAAATATATATATTTACAAATTGTACGCGCATACAAAAATTGTTGTTATAGGCTAAATTTATGGACAATTGCTAGAAATGTTTGCGGTTGTCAATGTGGCCGTGGCTGTTAATGCTGAGGGAGGCAGGGGACGTTAACAAAGCATACTTGAACAATCATACGATATATAAAAATGAAATCTGTAGGTTAGCTATTTGTTATCTAAATGCCAGTTTAAATAGATGTGTGTGTGTGTGCGGTGTTTGTAATGAAAATTTAAGTTGAAAGTGGTTTTGATTCTGGGTTTTTCTTCTTCGTCTTCATACTTTGGATTCTCTTATATTTGTTCAACAAAATTTGTGCTCTCGTTCCATAGTTGCAGATAGGTTTGTTTATATAGATATACGATTTTGAATAGCTATCAACAGTGTCTTTTAAATACACATTTGTATTCGTTCTCTTGTCGATATTCCAAAAAGTTTTGCTTTAGTATAAAAAAACATTATATCGAAAGTATAAAAATCGTATTTAGCCATAGTTCCGTCTTAACTTTTTCTTTCTATTTTCCACAGATACATACATTCATATATAATTTCGTTCTGTGTTTTGTGTGTCTCTTTGGATTTCGATTTTGTTTCGCTTTCTAGCATGTCAAGGATATTTACTAAAAATAATTGTAATGCATTATTTTTAAATCATTTTATTTAGTAGTATATATTTTTATCAAATATGCAAAAGTCTTTTTTTTTGGTATATAGCTTTACCGTTGTATTTATTTTTCAAATATTTAAAATTCTAAATTACACTACACAGCAAATGTTTTGAGCGCGATGTGACAATACGAGTAGTTGCCAACATGCAGAATTTAAATTTATAAAAACAATCTTCTTTTTTTTTGAAGAACTTCCGAATTGTTGTTTAAGAAAAGGGAGTTTTTCTAGTCTTCCATATATAAAGAAAGAATTGAGAGTAAACCTAAACATAAAATTGTATCAGTAATCAAGATTTGCTCAAACAACTTATTTTATAAAACTGGAAATCCTTAGGACAGCATGCTGGCAATGCGACCCAAAACATTTTAGCCTAGTGTTAGCATAGTGTTATTCGTTTTAAATTGAGAATCCAACGATAATCTTGTTTGCGCTTTTATTAATCATTTATCATCTCATTTAGCAAAAAGCGGGTGTATCTTCTTCAAGCAGGTATTCGAATGTTACTTGGCAGGATTATTATTTTTAATATATATTTTTTAGTTGTTAATAAATATAGTTTTATAAAAGCTTTGCATGTGTGTTGAGTTGTTGAATTAGTTGTTGTTGTTGCAATGTGTGTTATGTGTGTGTATGTATGTATGTAATTTTTGTTGTTGTTTTTGAATGCTCATTTGTTTTGTTTATTTGAAAAGTAGTTGCATTTTTTTTGTTGGCGTTATAGCTAATTATGTTTGCATTTTTTTTTGGGTTTTTGTTTTTTTTAATGCATATAGAACTCACATTAGGCGACATTGACTTAACTTGCTATTTAATGTACTATATATTTCCCAACATGTTTGACAATGTATCTACAATGGAATGATATCATTATCTATACATACATATTACATACTCGTAGTTTCCTGGTATCTCAATTAGTGATAATGCCATTTTGTATAAATTTGTAATTAAATTAATTAAAGCTTCTTTCGTGTGTGTATGTGTGTGTGTGTGTGTATGTATTTTCTTCTGCTCCTTAGTTGTGTGTGTATTTTTTAAAATATCAAATGCGAACAACCTAAAAATGTTTGCAATGTTTAAAAATTATTCTTTAACACAATCTATGTACAATTTAATATTTTGCTACTTATGCTTATGACTTTTATTGTTTTTTTGTTTTGTTTTAGTTAATGCGCCTACGAAGTTCGATCTAATGCTTTCATTTGAATTATTTGCTTATCCTTCAGATATATCGAAATGTCGTTAATACCTAAGAAATTTTCGGGAATATGCTGTGGAAGTTGATGAAAATTCATAAAATTGTTTAACAGAATTGTTGAGAATTTGACATTCGCTTTCTGAATTTGTTTTTTTTTTTAAGTATTTAACTAGAAATTTGTTAATTTGAATTGCGTCTACTTTAATTAGATTAAATAGCTATAACTACGTGTTTTTGTTTTTGTGGCTGCTTTATTAATTTATCGAAATCATCATCACATATCAAAAATGTACAAAAATTTTCCATTAGCTACGATTTGTTGTTTTTTTTTTTTTTGGTTTAACATTGCTGGCTTAACATTAACTGTTAAAGCAGCTGTCAAATAAAATACACAACAGGACATTCACACATTTGTGCAGACATACATTCATTTACATACATATGTATGTTACGTCTTAACAGAGTTCCATTTAACAGAGTTCCGTTTGGTTTTTAACAGTTTTCCGTTTAATAAATTGTGTTTGCAATGTTTGTTTTTCTCGTTCTTCAGTTATAACAACAACTTATGCCTTATGTTGTTTGTTCTGAATGATTAACATAATCAACATGCTGATATATTTTTTGTTTATCTATTTATATATAAATTTGCATTTGGTTTTGTGGTTTTACAGACGCTCGCCATGTTAAACAGTTTAACATTTTAGTAAACTTTCTCCATTCCTAGAGTTGATTTACCTTTAGTTTTAGTTGATTTCATTAATTAATAAGTGTACGTGTGGGCATGTAAAAGGCATTTGTTTGGTTTCAACTGTGTTTCGTTTAATTTCATTCAAATATATATAGATATATTTATATACTTTTTTAATATTATTCATATATTATTATGTAACATTTCTGCTGCCATTAGTTCGCACATTCAACTTTCAACTGTTCGGCGTTAAATTGCGATTTTTGTTTTCTTGTTGTTGGAAGAACTGAGCTGAAAAACCTGAAATAACGTTGCGAGTACGTTCAAATTTCTCTTTCCTTTTTCCATTTTGTTTTTGTTAATTCTTGTTTTTTTTCGGTTACCCTACGCATTTTTGAGCATTATGAATTATGTACCAATATGCGTGTGTGGCTATGTGTGGGAGTGTGTGTGTGTGTAGGTGTGTGTGTGAAAGGGTCGCACATAAGGGGTTGGCTGTAAAATCATATGTTTGTTTTAAAATTCAATGCTGAACTCAAAACCGCCTTTGCACACTTCTCATAAATATTTAAATACACAAAAACTTTTGGTTAAATAAATTCAATTTGTATTTTTATTGTGTCTCATTTATTATTTAAACTAATGCGTGTCTCTTTGCTTCAGGCATATATTAAGTTAGTGATATATATATGTGTATTTATATATATTTGTTAAATATTTAATGTTGTTTTCATATTTCTCTCTTTTTTTGTTTATTTTCCCATGTTAAGCGTTTCGAACAAAATTGACTGATCCTTTATTTGTTGAGTTCAGAAAATAATGGAATGCGTTTCTAAAGAAAATTACAGGATTAGTGGATGTTTTTAACAACTAATATTGCTCTTTGTTCTATAATAAGTATGTGTAGAGTTTGAGAAAGGAAAACATGCATAAACTTGTTCATGAAAGCTAACGGCAACGCCGCAAGCCTCAACACAGCGCTTTGATACCAAAACTTACGATGCGATTCCCTTCGCTTGTATAGCCTTTTTCTTTTCTATTATTTCGTTTAACAATTCCATTTCAATTCTTTTACTTAAACAATTAAGTAAACAACAAATTAAAACTTTATTATACATGTAACAAAATTGCAGAGTAAAACCATTCATATTAGCTATAAGTAGCTGTTAAAATACTTTATACAAAAAGGAGAAAAACTTCAACTTAGATATTTGAAGCATATTGTAACAAAAATCATTATTTGCGGTTTAAATGTATAACAATTGCTTTAACTACTATTTGCCTTGCTTTAAAATTTATGCGTAACTTGACATTGTTGCTCTTTTTTGTTGTTGTTGCTATTAATTATTAGTTAATATTATTTTTACAAAAGCATACGACCATATGAACTGTGAGGATTTTTTTTTGGGAGCTTTTCAAGAGACTACTGCTTAAAGATTTGTATGATTTGAAACAGTTTTATTTTTTTATAGGCAGGACATCCAATCGAATTGCATCGAAACTATTGTTGATTCACATTTAGATATAAATATTTATCGTGATTTGTAATTTTAAAACATGTTCTAATAGTTCCGAATTTTGGCTTTGATTGAACTTTTGAAAACTTAAAACTGATGTGGAAAATATTGTTTGATTTGTATTTCAAATTTCACGGATTTCTTTAAAACTGCTGCTTGTAACTCAACAAAAAGGTTTTTAATAGTAAAGTTTTGGTGCTGGAACTATCTCACCGAATTTTCTAAATGTTTGTCCATTTATTTCGAATATTTTGTGTTCAACTTTAAATAAATGCTGGGTTTTTATGCGGAAATGTCTCGATTTGTTTGCTGATTTCCTCGGCTGGTTTCGTATGCTTTGTTCGTTAATTCAATTGGTTTTTTATGCATTTTTATTTATTTGTTTAATTCATAACGTTAAACTTACTATACAAGCTCTCTCTCGTTCTCACTAAGAATTGTTTTCGTATTTTTTGAATTTCTCCCCTCGCAGTATTTTTAACATTAACATTTTTCTTTGTTGCATAACTATTATTGTTATTATTATACTTGATGCTTATTATTTAAACATATTGCGCGGCATACAAATTTTATTCAATGCGTTGCTTTCGCACTCCATAGTTATTTGTATTATTAAATTGATTTGTTTTCGTGTTGCTGTGTTTTGTTTGATTTGTTTGTTTTTTTTTTTGTAGTTAGTTATTATTTATTATACAAATTGCAAATGATTTACTTTGCACGGGTTAGGCTATGAGTGTTAAATGTTTGTCTGCCTGTGTGTGTGTGTGTGTAAATGAATGAGTGTGGTTGTGGATAGGTGTGTCTGTGTGTGTGTGTAAGCCCGTCTTGATTTGCTTTCTGCTTTAATAGTTATACTTTGTTGAGTGTATAAAAAATTGTTACTAACTTGCCAGCATATAAATTGTACAATATTTGTTTTCATTATTTAATATTAATCATTTATTAGGTTTTGCTTTCTCTTCACACGGCCTATGTAAATTAATAAATTGTTGTTATGAATAAAGTGAATTTTGTTTTTGTTTTTATATGTCTGTTGCGAAATGGAATACTTTGTTGATATCGCAAATGAAACAGCGACCAAAAAACAGGCACATCATTAACTTCTATAACATTACATAGTATTATATTTTTTTTGTTTGTTTCATTATGGTAATCAGTTGCAGCTACCGACCTTTTCGACCCCCTGCCCTTCAGCCAGCCAGCCAGCCATCCGCCCAGTGTCAGACAGCATGGCCACCATTTTTATGTGGCTGTTGTGGTTGCTGCTGATGCTGAGGAGGCTGAGGATTTTGTGTCGAACTGGACGTTGGCGCCTCGGAACGCTGTTGCTTTTTGGCAACCAGTCGCCGTTCACGCCAGCGATCAATGGGCGTGTAGCAGCATCTGAAGAAGGGCGGGGCACGCGTGGCACCGCCTCCACTGCTGCTGCTGCTACTCTGGCTGTGACTCAATTGGGCCAACGACTCGGCCGTCAGCTCAGTCTGTACCCCGCTGCTGGTCATGCGTGTTTGCATTTGAAAGTATTGGGGCGGTGGCGACTTTATTCTATGGGTCGGGGTTGGGGTCGGGATCGGGCCTGGGGCGCCCGCCTTGCAGATAACGCTCGGCGGCTCGACCTCGTGCAGCTCGAAGGTGTCCGAGCGCGTTGTCGTTGTTGTTGGCGTTGTGGTCGAGGGCCGGAACTCATGCGAGCAGCTCTCGACCATGGCAGTGCGATAGGTAGCGGCAAAATAGTTTGTCTCCAAATAATGGCAGGATTCAAATATATAATCATCGAACTGCAGTCGCGCTGAGCTGGCGGCACTTGAGTCTGTTGCATGCAACAGCTGTTGTTGCAAATGCTGATGCTGCTGCTGTTGGTGCAGCGAAGCATAGCGGCGCAAACAGCCACCTCCACCCTTGTGCGAATGTGTGGATGTGGGTGAGCCCCCGCCAGCCAACAGAACCAGCGAACTGGTCGTCGGCGAATGACTGTGTGCATGGACATGGCTATGGCCATGGCCATGGGCATGGGCATGATGTGGTGGTGGCTGCTGTGGAGCTGCCACTGCCACTGCCACTGCCGCAGCTGCTGCTGCTGTTGCTGCAACTGTTGCCGCCTTCATTGTGCGTTTTATCGTTTTGGTGTCGCTGTCGCGATGTCGCTGCTGTCTTTGCTTCATATCAACAATTTCTATTTCTTCTATATCACTAAAACTATTTAACTGTTTCAACAAATAATGCACATCATTTCGTTTCATTTGATTATCGTCTTCGTCGTCGTTGTCAGCGTGCCGCTCAAAAATCGTCGCATCCTCCACGTCCTGCTCGGCATTGTTGTCCTCCAGTGACAATGACAATGCCTGGTATTCCCCGCGGGACATTTTCGAGCTGCGCGCTGTCAGCGCGGTCGTCGTCGCTTTTGTGTTCGGTGCTTGCAATGTTAATGGAGTGCTCACGGCGACGGCGGCGCTGCGACCTGTATGGGTGAGGTTGTTAATTTTGCGCACATCTTGCTGTTGTTGTTGTTGCTGTTGTGGCATCAACTCTGGATAGGCCATGGCCAGACGTTGTTGCAGCGTTGCGCTGCACAGCGTTGGCGGCGTCGGCGGCTGCATGGCCTGATCCACAGTGGTGCTATCGATGATGCGATTAAATTTAGCCAAGGCGCTTGATGCTGCTGCTATAGATGATCTGGATGCTGTAGTTGTTGCTGTTGTTGTTGTAACTGCTGATGCTTCTGATGTTGTTGCTGCGTTGAACTTATGTCTTAGTTGTTGTTGTTCTTGTTGCTGTAGTTGTTGTTTAGGTTGTTGAGGCACTGTTGTGACGGTTTCTAAATTATCACCAACATCATCATCATCATTATAATCATAATTGCGACCACGCCCACTGCCCTGAGCATTGTCATTATCATCATTGTCATCATCATCATCATCATAGACATCTTCATCAACATCAATATCAACGCCATCCTTTAAAGTTTCCGTTACATTCAAATTCAGATTCAAATGCAATTTCTGTCGGAGCAGCAAACGTCCGGTCTTCGTGTCCGGCGCACGTACCGCGGGTAACCCCAAAGCGACACCCGCTCCATGTCCGGCCGCTATGACCGCCGCTGCTCTCTGCTGCGCTGTTGCTTTAGCTAAATTCTTTTGTAAAATTAACCTCCTCGACGAAATGATGTCATTATTGTCGCTCCCCCGCGATTACCGACTGTCGCGGGTGGAGCGAGGCCTTCCCTAACTGGATGTCGACGCAATCGGCGAGACGGGTGACAGCGGACTGCGTGCCTGCTCGCGCGGACAACCCGTCAGTGTGATGACCAGTTTCCTCGAGCCGGCCTGATCGCGATGCTCGCACAGCCAAACGCCCTGCCATGTGCCCAGCGATAGTTTGCCATCAGTAATGGGGATTGTCAATGAACTACCAAGAAAGCAGGCCTTCACGTGCGCGGGCTAAATAGATAGATACAACGAAATGGAAATCAATATACTTGTTGCATTCAGAAAAAAAGGTGCAACATAAATGAAGATGCTGCAAAAATATATAACTGTGTCGTAAAAGTGATCCAAAACTGTTCTATGAAACGCATTACTTTTTAAATATTTTCTTTAACTATCAGCTTTAAGTTATAATATTATTGTCGGACATATTGAAGAACTGTGAAAAGGTTGAAGAATTTATATTTGAGCGTTCAATCCCTAAATATTTTATTATTATTTATTTCCTAGTGCAACATCATTCGTTCTTTTTTTAATTTTCCTTTTTATCTTCATTGGTTATAGAAAAATATTGCGAAGTTTGATCGGAGAATTGAAATCTAGTTCTGTCGGCCCTCCGGAACTCAAGATCTTATCATTATAAACGTTCTTTAAACTACATATATATTTATTGAGACAGTTTTCTGATCTTTCAAACGGATTCGAAGTAAGCTGATATTCCAGCGAATAAATATTAAATTTTCGATTTCCTATAAAGATATTGTTCAATCAATTGGCGTTCAATCACTAAATAATCTTTTATTCTTCTTTTTTTTAATATCCTTTTTTATTTTCATACAAGTAGGTTATGGAAAGATATTGGGAAGTTTGATCGGAGAATTCAATTCTAGAACTCAAGAACTTATCATTATAAATGTTCTTTAAACGCTTCTACTATATATATTTAGAGACAGTTTTCTGATATTTCAAACGAATTCGAAGTAAGCTGATATGCCAGCGAATAACATATTCAATTTACGATTTCCCATAAAGATATTGTACATATTTCAAAATTATACTAAACTTAAGTTAAAACTTAAGTCTGTCAACAAGTTGGTCTTCTTCTTTTTACTTTTGGTTAGTTGTGGCAAAAATTGGCATCAGGTAGGCCGAAATAAAAAATAATACAAAAAGAGCACAATCTTGTATTGAAATGGTAATGAAAAAGTTATTTATTGGCTATTGTATCTTGACTAAGGTATTTTGAGTGAACCTTACTGTAGTACAGAAGTACAATAATGTCAGATTATGTACAGAAATTATTCATCCACCAAAGCGCCATTCTCAACAAACATTGAGTTATCTAACAAATTCTTTGTTCTTTCTACAGCGTGGGGGACCTCTTCAAGCCTACTTTAAACTTAAATGTAGCTCAGCTTTTGTAAATCATTGCTCACTTTTACGACTTTCCTTTATATTTATTTTAGTTTTTAGATTTCACACTCACCATATCATCGGGGCCTTCGCACGAATGCCTGTAGGGTAAACCTTCGGGAACAATTTTATTCAACATCATTTCCATGTCGTCTCTGCAATTTGTGCAAAATTGGGGATTATTGGTAAAAATCGTGAATAATTGCCGTTTCGCGCTTACCTGACGTCTGGATCCCAGCTTTCGTTTAACGCTAAACTCGCCGAAGTGTGAAGTACTGCAAGGGTAATAGATAGAAAGAGCATAAAATGAAAAACGCGTCAATTATGATTGTAAATGGGAGATAATAAAGAAGATGAAGAAAGAAAAAAAAGTGCAGAGCAAACATTTTTCAGACACGCCTTTGGCCAACACTTGGCGCCAATTAGACCAGCACGAATAACCAACTCTTGGCTGATCTGTGGCGATTAGCTTCAAGTTAATGCAAGCAATGCATTTTCGATTGAGTTGTGAGCAAACATAATGTTTATTAAATTAATTAGTAAGCTATGTGGCGAGAGTTGCATTTTAATGGCCAATGCACACGCTTGTTGAGCTATTCGGTATATGCATTATTTTTACATTTTTCAATTACATTTTAATTTGTTATGACAACACAATTGTGATAAGCATCATGGAATTTGTACAATGTACCTACAAAGTTGAACCACTTTCTCTTAAAGGCAAAAATATACTCGTATTTGTTGATCAGGGAAGGAGGACATTTACCAAATATTCTAAAAGCACTTTTAATTATGAAAAATACAGACAAATTGATAATCTTTTAATCGAAATATAATTTGCAAACATAAATTTCTCTATAATTTAGTAGCGTTTTATGGGGAAATTCAACAGCTGTTGAACATATTGTGACGAGTATGTTTAAGAAAATTTAATATCAGCTTCAGTCATTGCATTTTTTTTCTTAGAAGTGAGATAATGAAACGGACTATATAAAATTCCATTACAGTTTCAATATACCTTTACTCTAATCTTTACATAGCAACATTTTAATGTAAGCTGCGCATATTTCAAGAAAATGTTAAATATTTAAAATTTAATTATTTTTTAAGCGCAAGTCAAACCAGTTTGTTATATTTAATATATTAGACTATTATTTTACAACATTTAAGGTGCAAAAAAACACCAAATATTTATAGAGTTTACTTTTTATATTGGTTTCTCATTAAATTAAATGAATTTAAGGCATCTTGTGAGTATTTGGAAGTCATAAAATATATTTAGGCATAATCTTGTAAAAGTTTTAAAAAAGCTTTTAAAGTTGAATTTGTATTTTAAAGTTTACTCAGGATACATGCAAGTCAATTCTTCCCCATTGGACTATGTAAGGCACAGCTCTAAGGAAAGTGTTGCCTACTTTTGTGCTGAGCTTAATTCGTTAAGGTGGAATATATATACTGTTTATTTATATATATATATTCATACATATAGCACAGAAGACAAGCGTTTCAAACAAATTGAATGCACACTATTTACTTAAAACACATTTAGTGTAAATAATAAATAGAAACATACCACAAAACACTTAAATTTGCACACTAATTGCATATTCATGAATAAAAGAGACACCAAAAAGGCAGCAGCACAGCGAAAATTAGTTTATTATCAAATCCCTGAGTTGTAATTTAGGGGGCCCCCAAACACATCACACACAACAATAATGACTACAACGCAACAAACACACAGGCTCAACAGCAAATAGAAGAAGCGGAAGCAGAAGCACAACAAATATGGACGTTAGGCCTACAATTATGGGCAATGTGTGTACTTGTTCGTATATAGAGGTGTGAGTAAGTAAATGAGTGAGTGTGTGTGTGCTTATGTACATATGTGTGTTATGTTTACCAATGTTTATGTCCAAGCTGTGGGCCAACACAAAAGCACATTTCCTTTCTAAATAATTTCAAAAACGATTATGTCATGTCGGACATGTGTAAATGGCATCAAGAATTTAAATATTAGACAGAAAGCGCAAAACAAACACACACACACATACGTACACATCTACAAAGGTACAAACAAACAGACAACGACAATGAAAACGAGCTCGAAAGTGACAGTCGAAAAGGACAGAAAACAATGCAGTTCCGTCTGGTTCGTTGCGAGAGGTCGGGTCATAGAAATTTCGCAAATTGATTGCATCGGAAGGCAATGATATAGATTAAAAACTGATATAGACATTTGGGCAGACGTCGCACAGTGGTGACAAATTAAATTAGAATGAAGCCAAATTGTAAATCAATCACTGTACTTTAGTTTGCTTTCCTTAAATTGATTATTCTTCAGCGATTTAAGTTTTTTCTTTGTTAAAAGTAAGTTGATTTCTAAATAGCAATTAATTTATAAGAATTAGGAAAACTAGTAAAGCAGCCCAAGAGCCAAAAAATGATGTAATGTATTTGAGGTTTAAAATACATATATTCTGGATTTGGATAGCATTTTTCTACGATTATCTGGAAAAGTTGTACTAGCAAGCAGCCACAGTGTTTATGGATTATTTTCTTCTGTGAAACTCAGAAAGTTTTCCTTACTGTTGAGCCTGTCTGTCTGAAAAACCTGAGCGCTAGAAAAATATGTATTTAATTTAGTTCTTTAAACAACATTTTTCTTCGCCAAGTTTCTTTTATTTTGCATTTTAGGCAAAAAGTTTCTTCTGGGGAGGAAGATTTTGAGTAAACAAGCGGTGAATATACATATATTCGATGTGGATTTCATAAATTTCATTTTTTTAACTCAATGTACAATTATAGTGATTGGACTGAAAATTGAATATTTCATATAATTGTTATTTTTCTTTCGAACCTTTTTTCTTTGTATGTAATAAATAGTATTAAATTTATATAGTTTTTCAATGCAATATTCGAGTAAGGTTGAAAGATTGTCCAAGTTATAATAATATCTGACAATATTTTTTATTCGTTAAAGAATTTTTGGGTTTTTCAATAACAATATATTTTATTTATAGTTAACGACTATAAATAAATAAAAGCAAATTAAACTGGAATAATGATTGACAACTTTAAAAAGGAAATCAGTTGATTACAATAAACTGAATAAAGAAACAAAATTAATACAACAAATCAGGGGTTGGGGTGGGGCGCTAATCTAGTCCGGTGTGTTACGTCGCGGTCAAGAATTCCCACGTTTTTAATCAAGGAATTTAATTTACAGCAGCTGTGCACGACCATTGTTACTTAAATTAATTTTTTTGGGACTTTGAATCTGCTCTTTTAGCCAGTTAGCCACTCTCTTGCTAGCTTGAAATTTGCAACCACAGTGAGGCTTTCCGGCTGGCAGTCAGCTAGTTGGTGCTGCCCTCTTAGGTCGCGAATTATTAAACAACCGCAATTAGTTAGCTGCCAGCTGACGGCCTTTGCTTCCTATAAATGTACTCGCAGATGTAGCCACATAAATACGTTAGTTTATACATATGGTAGTCAAATGTCGTTTTAAATATGTTAATACGGCAACATATTTGTACCTACTTGTACATATGTATGTATAGTATGTAACATATATACGAGTACCTAAAGGATTGCAAGTGCGTTGGCGTGTTCGTCGTTTGGTCTAATAAGGCCAACTAGATCACTGGGGAAATGCATAACTTCATGTACACTAAACTCGCGCATCCGCCTGGGATACTCAACTGACACTTTTGCCGGCCCAGCAAATACAAATTTCCACAAAACGGACGAGGCGGCACCGACCGAGCAGGATGGCCGACAGACAAACGGAAGAACGTTTGCAATGGCGCGATGTCGGTGGCTATAATATGATTTAGCTTGTGGGCTTTGTGGCTGTATATCTTTATGTATATATGTACATATGTATATATGTGTGTTTGCCTACGGCAAAAGTTTAGTGGCAAGTGCTGGTAACACACACACACACACGCATAAATATGTATTTGTAAGGTGAATAAGATGATGGCAGCCAGGAGCGCTAATAAGCGTTGAGATACACGCTGAGAAAAAAAAGTGCACGAGCATACTTAATGTGTTTCAAATTTGTTATTGAATAATTGATTTATAAAGTCAAAATATCAGAAAGCAAGATTTGTAAGCCTCGTCCTCGTTTAAAGAATACCAGATTTGGTATAAAAACATTTGAGCAAATCCCCTTTTAATTAATTATGGAATCCATCGACGTCAACGCCCTTATCAAGCATCAAAAGGAATAAGATTTGTTTTCGACTCATTGCGAACTTACAAAATAAAGTCAAGTTCTTTCCATAGTTCAAGAATAATTAGCAATTTCAAGTTTATTTTATATTCTATTCTCGCTGCGCAAGAAGTTGTTAGATACACATTTTTATAGCTTGTTGAACTTAAACGGTGTGTAAAACTACGAATATGTATGTATACACTGAAATTGGTTCCAGATATAACCGTGTAAAAAAAGACACGGAGTATATGCAAAAATAGGTGATTGGTTTCTTATCTCTAAAGAATTATATATGCAATTTTTATACCCTGTACCCGTAGGGTAAAAAGGGTATATTAGGTTTGTGCAAAGTATGTAACATGCAGAAGGAAGCATCTCCGACCCCATGAAGTATATATATTCTGAATCAGCATGACGAGAGAAATCGATCTAGACATGTCCGTCTGTCCGTCCGTCTGGATGAACGCAAGGATCTCAGAAACTATAAAAGTTCGAATAACCAAAGTTGGCATCCAGATTCTCCTAGGTCCGAGAAAGGACGAGTTTATTTTATTTTTTTAAATTTCCCCCCCCTTCCCCCGCTACAGAATTTCGGCAATAGCGTCCACATTTCAAATGCTACCTAAACCAAACTTTGCACACATAATTTATATATAATTGTCTACTGTTGTTTAAAATGTTGTTCAATTCGGTCAATTCTAAGAAAAGTTATTAGCGAAACAAATTCTCGCCAGTACAACCCCACCAAACTGCAGCAACAAGTTCGCTCTTCTTCTTCCTCTTTTTGCTGCTGCTTTGGGCGCATATAACTCAGTGACGGAAGTTTACCTGGGTACAGGGTATTACACTGTCGGGCTTGCTCGACTGTAGCGTTCTCTCTTGTTAAAGCGTGTTATATCAAAATCGTATAAAAAAAGACCGTGTAAAAACAGTATTAGGTGTATACATATATATTTTTTTAAATCTTTAATCTTTTATTTAAGATCTGTCCTAGCTTGGACAATTATCAAATTCGGTAGTTTAATTTGGAGAATTATTAATCTTGGCTGCGAA